CCCTGCCTGTGGAGCAGGCCCAGTCGGACTCGTGTGCTGGACGCCTGGACTTCAGGTGACCAATCACACTGTGATCCCTGCCTTGCCACCTGCCCTGTGTGAGGCCGGGGACTGGGCCCTCTTCTCCGCACAGCTTCTGGAAGGTGTGTGGTGCTTAGCAGGTGCCCGCTGGCGACTGGCTCAGAGGATGGATGAACCCTCAGGTCTTTGCTGTTCTTGATGCTGCCCAGTGGGCCCCTGGCCCCAGGCCCTTTGCACAGCCCAGAAGTCTCTGCCACCAGAGAGCTGCACGTCTCCCCTCCCCCCACCAGGCACTCACTTGGACGTCACCTGCTCAGAAAGACTTCTCTACCTGAGCAAGCACACCCCTTCGTGATTCTGCCATGCCCCTCCCTCCGCTGTTCCAGTCATTGGGTTTTGCACTTCCCACGAACCAGGCACACTTCTAAACCGTCACCGATGTGGGCTCCATCTGGGGAAGGAGGAGGCATGCAATCGCCTCTACTTTCCGGACAAGGAAACAGGCACAGAGAGGGGTTGTGACTTTCCCAAGGCCACACAGCAGGCTGGGGCCAGAGCAGAGACCCAGATCCAGATGGTCTGGCTCCAGAGGTGTTTGCCTTCCTCATGGTGGGTTCACACGTGTGTCACTTCTTCATGGTGGGTTCACATGTGTATCACTGCTGGCGTCTGTCATGCAGCAGGGCCGTGTCTGGAGGTGTGCCCAGTCACCAGATTGAGGCTTGGCACGTAATAGGTGCTTAATAAATCCTTCTCGGCAGGACGGAGGAAGGGAGAGAGGAGGATCAGAGAGTTGGAAGGAAGGCTCCCTGGCCCGCTGAGCTCAGCCCGAGGACGTCAAGGCCAAGCTCCACATCGGAAGCTTCCCAGCCTCTCGGAGGGCTTGAGTCAGCCTGCCCGGACCGGCCCGCCCTGCCCTCCCCTCCCCCTCCAATAGAAGCTCTGTTTTCTGACCTCTCCCAGGCGAAGGTGCCAAACCGCGCTCCTGGCTCCCGGGGCCCATGCTGAGCGCACTTCCTCCTGAGACAGGAGCCGCGGAGACAGGAAGTCTTCCCAAGGAGGTGGCCTGGAGCGGAGGCGCTGCCGCGATGGGCCCTGGCGGGGCTGCTCCGGCCAGATGTGCCGAGCGCCTTGGCGGGCGGACGGAACACGAGGAGAGCCTGGGAGGGGGCCTGTCCCCTGCCAAGTTCTCCTTGGCTCCTGACAGCGCGACTCCACCAAGGGAGCCGTGGAGACGCTTTCCAAGGTCCTATCCCCCGGGGTAAACCATCCTTTCCTGTGACACGGTGCAGCGACTGTGATGTGACAAGCTCGTCAGCAGCCTGTTTCATCGAACCCTCCCGACTCCCTGCGCCGCATGAGTCGCCTGAGGCTCAGAGACGTGCAGGAGCCTGTTCAGGGTCACACAGCCAGGATGCGCTGGAGTTGGGGTCTGTGACACGCTACGGGCTCCATCCAGGGAGCAGAGGCTGGAAGCCCGGCCTGGAGCTCCCCACTTGACCCGTTACTCAAAAATTACACGTTTGTCAGTTTTCTCATCTGTGAAGTGGGCATGAAGGGGAGTTGACGCGTGTACAACCCGGGCTGTTTTGCTGGGAGGACTACATTGTGCAGGGCCTACATTGTCACAGGATGCCGGGGACTGTCCAGGCACCCCGAGTGGCAGCTGAGGCTCAGAGAAGAGGCCAGAGGTCACGCAGCCCTAGCGCCTGCACTGGCAGAGGTGGCCAGGGAGGACCATAGCTTGGTTCCAAGCGAGAGACTTTAATAAAGGGTGGAAGTGTTTCTCCGAGGCTCTGGGCCACAATGCGGGACCTGAGCCAGGGCGGGGATGGCACAGACCACGGCTGCCTCACCTGCCCAGCGCAGCCCTGTCTGGGAGCAGCCTGGTCCCAGCCCCACATTGCTCCCAGACACCATCGGGGCTCATCTCGGAGTATACGGGGACACAGCCATCTGCTTTGCTTGGGGTCAGGCCGTTGCGCTCGGCATTGTGGGATTGGGGGTGGGGGGACTGGCACGGTCTGAACTTTCGACACAGACATCTGCTGAGCACCCTCAGGCGCCCGGCACGGTGTCTACCTCCGAGGGAGGTAACAGTGTCAGGCCCATTTCACAGATGAGGCTCAGAGAAGAGAGGTGATCTGGTCTCGCAGCCTGGTCCGGCTGACGCCGTGGTGTGGGCCGTCAGTCACCGTGCAGCCTGGGCTGCGGCGTGAGCCTCAGACAACCTGGTCGCAGTCAGCAAGGCCCCCAGTGGCAGGGCTCTAGGGAGGGTGGCAAAGTGACCTTGATCCTCTGGACAGGGGATCTTAGAGATGCAGGGGGTCTCAAAAGACAGCTTTATGCTGACGTCCCCTCCCCAATTTCCTGAAATGCAAGTTCCATTGTTGCTATTTCATGGGCAATGAGACCACAGCTCAGAGAGGCAAAGCAGTTTGCCCAGGACCACACAGCATGGAGCTGAGTGGCACTGTCATTTTATCAGCCCCCAGCGCAGAGCTGGGAGCAGACACCGGGCCCAATCCATGATGGATTTTTTTAAAGACGAAAGGGAACTTTTGAGATTGTCAACTCTAACCACTTTCTTTTATCTCCAGGGAAACAGGCCAGAGATGTTTCTAAGAACATCTGCTAAGTAGGGGCTGTGAGAGATGTAAGAAGGGGCCTGGATTCCTATTTTTTTTTAGATGCTTTTATTTGAAAGGCAGAGTGACAGAGAGAGAGAGAGAGAGAGGAGAGAGATCTTCCATCCACTCATTCACTTCCCCAAGTGACCTCAACAGCCGATGCTGGGCTGGGTTGAAGCCTGCGGCCAGGAACTCCATCTGGGACTCCCACGTGGGTTACCTGAGCCCAAACACTTGGCCCATCCTCCACTGCTTTCCCAGGCCCATCAGCAGGGAGCTGGATCAGAAGTAGGGCAGCTGGGACTCGAACTGGTGCCCGTATAGGATGCCAGGACTGTAGGCAGCAGCTTAACCTGCTGTGCCACAGCGCTGGCCCCAAGATCCTTAATCTGAGTGTAAACATTGCCTCTGTCGCTCACTGCCCTCCTGGCCTCTGGGAGGACGCTAACCCTTGCTGGACCTAAGCTTCCTCAACTGCAACAAATGATACACACAAGGTGTGCAATAAAACGTTACTGTTAACACAAGGGGTCTCCCCAAAGTGCATAGAAAATGGAAGAGCTATGTGTGGGTCTCAGCATTTGGGCACCCCAAGCTACTTCTCTTTTAATTCCATTTTCCATGAACTTTCTGAAGCCCCATGGTATTGCTGACCCTGACCTTTGCACCCAGTTCAAGGGTCCCTGGAGGGTGGCCTGCTGGGCCTCCTACCCACGGCCAGGGCCCTGGTGTGGGACGGAGGGGCCGGTGAGCTGCTTTTCTCGTTGGTTTGACGGAGCAGCCGGGAAGGAAGGAGTGCATGGTGAGGGTTAAGGTCAAGCCCCCAGGAGCAGAGGAGACTGGGGTCTCCATTCTCTGCTCTGCTCTCCCATAAGCACGCGCGGCACTGCTGGCTGCCACCTCCCGGCTATCTCCAGTCGCCAGGGAGGAGACGCGATGCTCGGGGCCCATATTAGCTTCAGCTGCCCTGCAGGGCTGGGAATGGGCTGTTCTGGCCTGGGTTAGGAGGGTAAGGGCTGGGCTCCCAGCCTCTCAGGGGGCCTCAGCTGCCCACGCTCTGAGCAGCACCCTGGACGCGTGCCCTAGGCTGGTTCCCAGCGTGGGGAGAAGTCAGCCACCCCTGCAGCCTTCTCAGACCACATCCTGAACGGTCCCCGTCAGCACCCCGAGGAGCGCTGTGTACACAGCTCGGGGACCCGTAGCAGGGGTGGGCTCGGGGCTGACTCAGGGGATTAGCGGAGTCTGGAGCTGGGCGTCCCAGGCTCCCGGGGACGTAAGCAAAGGAGGACATTTGTTTATCGGCCACCTCCAGGGCTGAGCGGTGTTTAGGGAAAGGCACGGGCTGTCTGGTGGCCTTGGGTGCGGGCTGGGAGGCTGTGGGGACCCACTGCTGGGGGCTGGCGTGGCTTTCTGGCCCAGAGGAGAGACGCCCGCACGCCCGCCAGCATGCTCTGGGGGGGCTCTGCAGCTGGGCCTAACTCGGCAGGACCTGCAGCCCTAGGACGCTGAGGTGCTGGGGAGCTGCCGAGGTTTTAACCAGGGAGGGATGCGGCTCCGCTTGCACTTTGTCCACCAGGTGGACGATGAAATCGGAGTGGAAGCGAGAGACTGGTTAGGAGCCAGGTGTAGCCACAAAGGCAGGCAGAATTGAGGGCTGTGGAGGAGCCGCAGTGGGCAGGGCCTGTGGGCAGACGTGGGCTGAGGACCACGGGACGTGTGTTTCCTGAGTCAGGGTCCCGGCAGGAAACGGACAACCCACTCAGACAGGGAGCATTTGTGAGCACATCTGAGCACATTTTAAGGTTTAACAAACACGGAGCGGTCACACATGGGTTTGGGGCGCAGCGGGTATTTCAGCGCTTTCCGACAAGGTGATTGATGGGAGCCTGGGCCTCCCAGAGGGGTGGACGGAGTAAGGGACCCCACAGCGCTCCACACACGGCATGGCTAGGGGTGACCAACCCCAGAGACCCTGCAGGGCACACCTGAAGAGTGCACATCTGGCCCTCCTGCCGGAAACTCTCATTGGTCAAACTGGAGGTCAGAGGGCAAGGGACCCGGGGGGTCTTCAGTCTGTGGCAGCCAAGCAGGGAGAGGGGTGGATCTGGGGCCAGAGCTGCTGGGGGAGGGGAGATGCTTCGAAGGCTCGGTGTGGGGTGGGGAGGATGCCAGCAGCCGCGGGGAGATTTTAGGGGTCCCCGGGACCTTCTGGCTGTGAAGGAGCGGGGCTCATGCGGTCCTGAGCCCAGACAAGGCAAAGGGGGCCTCCCGCTCTGCTGGGTGACTCAGCCTGCGCGTGGGCGTGCAGCTCGGGAGGAAACTCTCCCCGACGCAGCTAATTCCGTCCCGGGGCTGGCAGCCAGGCCTGCGGCTGGAGCATCTGCAGGCGCCGTGCGGTTCCAGGCCTCGGGGATGCAGGGCTCCAGCCCCTGAGGGGCCCCTGGGGGCCCCCAGAGTCGCGAGAGGCCCGTTGTCTCCACGTGGGAGGACGCGGGCACAGCCGTCAGGACCCGTCCTTGTCCAGCGGCTGCTGAGGAGGAGCATTGTCAAGGGCCCCAGAGGCACCTGGCAGCCCCCTGACATTTCAGCCACTGGCGGAAGCCATGTCGGGGCTTTGAGGTCAGAGTCCTTGGTTCAAATCCGGAGCTGATACTTAAAGGCTGTGTGATCCTGGGCTGCTCACTCCCCCTCTCTGAGCCTCTGTTTGCAAATCTGTGCAGTGAGGACTCGGATCCTGCTGGGGCGTAGGTTCCAGGCTGCAAGCCCCTCTTCTCCCTCTCCAGGCCTCGGTTTCCCCAGCTAAACACAGGGTGCTCTCCAAGGGGCCTCCCATACCCTCAGAGGCTTTCTTTGCAGGCTGAGAGCGGAAGGAGGTGTCCAGGCCACCCAGCCAGACAGTCAGGGTGGGCCTTGGAGGAGGTGGGAGATGCAAGCAGGAGCTGGGCCAAGCAGGGCCATGTGCAGACAGAAGGAAGGGCTCCCAGTCTCCCCATGGGCTCTCACGCCCACGGGCTCTGATAAGGCCCCTGTATTTGGCCCTGGGTCCAGCCGTGGGGAGTAGGTTTGCTACAGCCTGCAAGGGGAGACACAGCGGCTGGGAGAGTGGCCACTGGCAACGCGGGCTGGCGGGGCGCACAGGTGAGTGATGTCACTGGTGCAGTAGGGGAGAAGAGGCAGGAGATGGGAGGGGGGCATACAGAGCGAGACTACAGAGAGAAGAGAGAGCGAGAGGCCGAGACGCAGAGAGGAGACCAGAGACTGGGAGGGAGAGACGGAGGCAGAGGCCGGCAGAGCAGGCAGTGAGAGGAGAGAAAGGGAGCGAGGCACTGCAGGCATGGTGCACTCATTTAACAGAGGCACAGGCAGTGACGGGAGCGGAAGCAGAGGCAACCATCTGCTGCCCAGATGACCTGCGGCCCCGCTGTCCTCTGAGCCCCCAGGGACCCCAGCCAGCTGGGAGCTCCAGCAGGAAGCAGCTGGAGGAGATGGGCTTAAATCCCTGTGCTGCCGCTGAGCAGGCAGAGGTGAGGTGAGACCCCAGGCAAGATGCCTGCTCTCTCTACCCCAGCCCCCAGCATCGCCTTGGGAGTGTGCGGCCCGTGGCACTGGCCTTGCTGTGGGCTGCCGTATCCCAGCATCCAGGCCGTGCCTGGCCGGAAGCCTCCACACCCTGGGAGGCAGGCGGAGGGGATCCACTCCACAGAGCTCCTGCTGCAGGGGCAGCCATCACACGCTCTTCCCAGACCACCACCCAGGGGCCCAGGGGCTTGGGAGAGGCAAGCACTGGCGGCCTAGAGCCTCCGCCTGCCCCGTCTGAAGATTTACCCTTGAACCCTCATGGTAGGTTCCACTGGGACAGGGGCCAAAGGATTCTGGAAGGTTCCAAGGGGGCGAGGAAGGAGCGTGGGTCAGGCTATGCACAGGCTCAGAGTTTGCTCTGGGTTTGCTCCCCTGTCCAGCAGGGCTGACGCCGTCGCCTCCCTGAGCTACCTGTGTGACCTGGGCCCATGGCTGGCTCTCTCTGTGGCCCGGCTTCCGCCTTTTTAACAGTGCCTAGGACAGGGGTGGGATTGCTTGTTTAACACAGTTTAAGCCAACGGCCTCCACCTGAGGTCCTGTTCTCTGCACCCAGAGGAGCCAGATGTGCCCCCTGTCCTGCGGTGGGGGTGTGGGCAGGACTCGGCCATCTGCCTGGTGACCGACCCGGCCCTGGCACGGGCTGGACTCGCCCAGGAGGTACCGCGGCCCTGCACAGCCGCTTCTACCTGAGCCGGAGTTCTTACTTCCCTTGGTGCCTCCAAGTCCAAGTTCATTTCCTACTCAACAGAGGACTGCGGACTGGGGCTCTGGAGGCTGCTGGTTTGGCCTTGTGCCTGCCCAGTGTGGCTTGGTCAAGGATTCAGTGACCCAGGCCTTGGGCTGGGCAGCACCCAAGGATGAACCCTGGGCACAAATCTGGGGTGTTTGTTTGTTTGGGGTTTCTCTGGCCCTCTGCGAGGAGGCAGAGCTGACATAATTACGCCTCTGTCCAGCCGCACTGCCACCATCGTCCTCCGGTTTTCTCTCCTCACTGCCTTCCCATTTCCTCCCCTCCCTGCCCTACCCCCCACCGGGCCACACTGATCCGTTCCCAAGCACCCCAGCGGGGGTCTCGCGTGGCTGCTCTCAGGCATCTGCTTCCCATGTGCTCCAGCGTTCGTGGGGGCCACAGCCCCTTCAGCGCTCAGGTTGCCCCACTCTGGTGTGTGGACACTGGACCAGCTGCTGCTTCTTAGAGCCCATCTCACCCAGCCCCTCTCCCACCGTGGACGCTCAGGGCCTCCAGCCTTCCGCTGATGCGCCTCTGTCATGCACCTGTGCCGTGCGTGCCTGGGTCCTGACTCCCTGTGAGGTCTTCTCCTTGGCAGACAGCTGGCACCTGCGGCTCTGTGGGCAGACTGACCTCAGAGGCCAGCAGCACCTGAGGCCGGGTGGAGGGATGCAGGCACCCAGCCTCGTGGATGCAGCCAGCAATTCCCAGAGCGCTCACTCGGTGGGCGTGAGCCTTGGCCGCCCTCTGGGGGACTCTGTCGGATGCTGCCCCTTGTGTGGCCACTCCCCTTCCCAATCCTACTTCTACACTCCCTTACTGATTTTTCTTGGAAGCTTTCCTCAAATCGCTTTGTGGGATTCCTCATTTGAGGGTTTGCTTCTGGAAAAAGAAGACACATCCCACGCAAGTTGCATGTAGATATTTTCTCTGCACAGTTCTCTGTGGGGCTGTGGGCACTGCCTGGGAGTCTTCGCTCTGCAGTGGCCATGGGGGCTTACAGAAGCCTGAAGAGAGCTCCCTGTGCCCCCGCCTGGCCAAGCGGGGAAGGGCCTAGCGTTCTAGTTCTGGCCACAGCCTGTGGGGGCAGAGTGTTATCTTGTCATGCTTTTGCATGTCTTTGATCTCCAGTGTGTCCCACGTCTGGGTCTGGTTTCCTTCCTGTGAATCGCCTGTTCCTGCTGCCAACCCATTTTCCTGTTGTAGTTGCTCTTTTTGGATTTGCAGGAAGGAGTTCCTAGACGGCAATGTTGGGTTTGTGGATTCTAAATGTCTTCCTCCAGTGGAGGCAGGGAGTGTGTATATGTGTGTGAGTGTGCCTGCCTGTGTGTGTGTGCATGCCTGTGTGTGCCCTGTGAGTTTGTATATGTATGCACTTCTGTGTGAGTGTGCCTGTGTTTGTGCGCACCTCTGTGTGTGTGCACCTGTGTTTGTGTGCACACCTCTGTGTGTGTATGCACCTATGTGTGCACATTGTGTGTGTGCACCTCTGTGAGTGTGTGCACTCCGTGTGTGTGCGTACTCCGTGCGTGTGTGTGCACCTCTCTATGTGTGCACCTGTATGTGTGTACTCCGTGTATGTGTGTGTGCACCTCTGTGTGTGTGCACCTGTGTGTGTGTGTGTGTGTATGCCTGCAGTGCATGCCTCTGTCCTCCAGACTGGGGTGGACAACGTGGTCTCTGATAAAAGTGACCCCCACGTGTGCCGCAGACCTCAGCCAGACTGTCCTGGAAAATGGAGCAGGTGGATTCCTTGAGGGGTCAGCAAAGTGGAGTGACACAGAGGGTGTCCCTGCAGGGTGGGGCTGGGGGTGCGCACCAGGAAGGGTGTGAATAGACGCCGAAAACTGTGTGCTGCTTTCCAGAGCTCCAGGTGGCTAAAAGCAGGTCGTGCAGCCGTGCTGCCTGGTTGGGAATCCCTCACAGACTGTGACGTCAGCCGCACTCTCACCTTCCCCACGGGAGGAGTCCTGGAGGTGACCAGAGATGGATGAGCTGATGCAGTTAAGGGCCTCATGGCATTTGGACTCCTGGGCATACTCAGTCAATTATTGTTCATCACAAGGGGCAGGAACCAATAGAAAGTGTTACTAGGCGGAGACCCGAGGTGCATCCCAAGCCCGGTCAGACACCTGCAGAGCACGCGTGGACTCCTTAGGGAGTTGCTGCCTTTGACCTGCACACGTGCCTCTGAGCCACATCAGAAAGGAAATGTGTCCATCTGTAGCTCTCGGGTGACCAAGAATGGGGAAGAAACCCAACTCCCCGCAGGGGAAGCAATGTTGTTCCTCACCCCTAATTCTCAGGGCATTTCTCGCTCTCAGGGCTATGTCACTGAGGAGGGATTAATTACGCAGCGTCGCAGGTGTGACTTTTGGGGGGTCATTGCCCTTGGAGATCTGGAGGGGAAGATAAAGGTGGCCTGGGAAGGCAGACCCCTGGGGGGCTGGGCTCCATAGGATCTGAGGATTGCAGGGCTCTTGGTGGGACTGGGGGCTGCTAGCCCTGCAGGGGGAGCCAGTGAGCCTTTTAATCTGGGAACCTCTGAAGTCCTGTAGCCTCAGGCAAGGGGCTTCCCCTCTCTGAACCTAGGTCTCCCCCTCACCTGTGCACTGGGCCTGCGCACTGGCGTTATCCTCACAAGGCTGTCAGTAGCCGCGCACGGGGTCTCGCGTGGCACGGTGTTTGCACAGCACGAGCCCCCAAGTAGGTGTTAGCTGTGTGCAGACCCAAACGGCATAAGCGAGTTTCAGACAGCTTCAGGCAGCTTGTGGGAAACGAAATTAAGTGGCAAGCTTATTTCAGTGCCAAAAAGAAAATGTTAAAATCCGTGCTTACGAGATGAGCTCAAGGAAAACGCATATGGTGAAAAAGCTAGGCATGGCTTTCGCAAACACTCGCAGCTAAACAAACGGAAGAATCCTCTCTGCCCACAAACTTTTGGAAGTAGCCTCGTGTAGAGTGACACATGCTGCTTCCCCCAGAAGTAGGAAGCCGCTTCCTGGCCGTGGAGGTTTTCAGGAACAGGAGTCGCTAGAACTCTCCAGCTTTTGGAAATCGGGAATCAGCAAAGGGCCGGCGGTCATTTCACAGCACACGAGGCAGGTGTCTTATTTCTACTGCAGGGAGGAGGAGCCCGGAGCTGAGACAAGCAACATCTCTAGTGGTGCCTTGCTGACCTGCCTCTGAACCCAGGGCTGGACAGGCAATAGGGCGGGACGCAGTGGTCCTCGGGACACCCTGGCCTCTGCCCACCCGTGCCGGCCACGGCCATCATAGGAGTGAGTAGAGAGCGGACGCCGGAGAAATCACCGTGATACCCATAGCGACAACAGTGCTGGCCTCATCCCAGGCCCCGCTGCGTGTTCCCGTGGTCTCTGTGCAGACTCTGTCACCTGTTGTGAGTCCCCGGATGCGGGCTCTAATGACACTTTCCGTAGCATTTGCATCTACGAGGTGCTGTGAGTCAGCTAGGGGGGCTGTGAGGCGCATGGGAGGCCGCATTCCTCCTAGAAGGGACTTGGGCGCCTGCAGATTTCTGCACCTGCAGGGGTGGGGGCGGGGTTGTCCTGGAACCGGTCTCCTGTGGACACGGAGGGGTGAGTGTCCTTGACACCGCCGCTTTGCAAGGTAGGGACTGTTATCCTCATGCCCATTTTACAGGTGAGGCAGCTGTGGTGCAGAGAAAGTAACTCTCTTGCCCAAGGTCCCGGGGCAGGGGGGTCCTGCAGACCCAGGAGCTGCTCACAGGCAGCTTGCTGGACCCCAGGGGCCGCTGTTCTGCCTGGGCTGTGAGCCACACGGGGCTCAGGACAGGAAGGAAAGGGCAGGAGCTAAGGGCAAACTTGGGGCCCATCTGTATCTTTCCATGCAGGGGCCCAGAGGCCCTGGGGGGGGTGCGCACCAGCGGGGGATGCTGACGTATTCAGTCCCAGAGGGATGAACTGTGAGGGGTGGACAGACAGACACACCCAGAGGATGTCAGAGCCACCCGGTCCCTGCCCAGCTTGGCAGAGGCTCAAAGACACAAAGATGTGGCCTCTGACCCTGAGCTGCCTCCAGCCGGCTGGAGGACAGACATGACGCTATCTGTGTACGGCCATGTCTCTGCAGACACCATGCAAAGTGCTCCTTCTGGGGACCAGCCAGCCAGCCCAGTGCTGCCAAGGAGGGCTGCAGGGCTGGAGAGACAGCAGGCAGGTCCTCCCTCCCCCTTCCTAACGCCTGTCCTGTAGACTCAGAGGCAAAGTGGACAGTGTGGCGCAGCAGGTTAAACCGCTGCTCGGGAGGCCCACACCCCATGCTGCGGCGCCTGGGTTAGGTCCCACCGCCTACAGTCCAGCTTCTGCTCATGTGGACCCTGGGAGGCAGCAGATGATGGCTCAAGCACTTGGGGCCCTGCTACCCCATATGGGAGACCGGGATGGAGTTCCAGGCTCCTGGGTGTGGCCTGGCCCGACCCCAGCTGCTATGGGCATTTGGAGAGTGAAGCACAGTTTGGCAGATTTGTCTGTCTGTTGGTCTGTCTCTCTCTGCTGCTCTTTCAAATAAATAAAAATAGATAAATATTAAAAAGCAAAGCTCAGATGCCACCTGCCCCCTGGAGCCTCGGGGCCCAGGCTGGGTGCCAGCCCCTCCCCTGGGCTTCTCAGGACATCTGAGCTTGTCCTGCCCCAGCCCTCGCTGTGAGCTCCTTGTGGGAGGGGACCAGAGCAAAGCCATTCCCTCAGTCCTGGGGCTGCACAGCCTGGCCCAGAGCGTGTGGATGCAGCCGTTTCTTCCTCTAGGACACGCTTGGTGGTGGTCGTCAGCTTGGACAGATCATGATTTGGGGGACAGTGTGGGATGACGGTTACAAGCCCAGGATCTGCAGATCTGGCTCAAACCCGGGCTGTCCTTCCCTGTGCCTGTGTGCTTGGTGAAGGGTCTTTATTCGGTACAAGTTATTTATTTATGTATTTGAAAGGCAGAGCTAGAGAGGGAGAGACAAAGAGAGAGAGAGATCTTCCATCTGCTGGTTCACTCCCCAGATGGCTGCAACAGCCTTGGACTAGGCCAGAATCAAAGAGCTGCCTTGAGCTGAGCCATCGACGCAGCTTCAAGGGGCTCCACCACTTCCCAGCTCCTCCAGCTTCTGTCTCCTTCTCTGTGAACTGGAAATAGTGACAGTGGAGTGTGTGTATGCGTGTGCGTGTGCGTGTGTGTGTGTGCATGTGTGTGTGTGGCGCTGAGCCCACTCAACTCTCTGGTTCTTGAACCTGGACCCAACCACTGCCTCCCTTCTTCCCTGATCGGCCGAGGCCCACCCTGGACAGCTTTGGCCAGCACAACAGTGAACGGTGAGGGACTCGTGTCTCCGAGGGAGACCAGTGACCACTGACCTGGTGGGAGTCGGGGGCAGGAGTCAGTGGTCACTGTCAGTGCAGGTTTTTGGAAGTGTGGTTGGGGCCAAGTTCACGGTACCACACATCTCTCCTTCATTGCACTTAGCATGCTGGCAATTTTCTCACGTTTTTCTGACTAATCGTCTTCCCCACTAGACTGCAGAAAAGCCAGGGTTGTTTCAGGAGCTTGGGCTTGAACCACAGCTCTGTGTTTGTTCAGCTGTATGACCTTAGCCAAGTGACTTAACTCTGTGGGCCTCCCTGAAAACCGGGGTTTAAAACCTTGCTCCATCGTTGAGTTGCTGTGAGGGTTACCAGGGCCCGTGTACACCAAGTCCTTAGATTCGTGCCTGGCTCGTAGGAGAGTCTGTTCCATAAACGAAGGAACAAAGCAGGGAATGGCTGAGCCGCCGCAGCGCCGTGCTCAGAGCTGGGGAAGACGCCGCTGCCCTTGCCCTGTTGGTTGTCGCCCTAACGGCCCCGGCCTCTCTTGCAGAGCATGGAGGAAGAAGACTACAATGCCTCCCTCGCCTACGGAGACGACTACCCTGATGACTTTGACTCCCTTGTGGTCCTGGAGGAGCTCTCTCCCCTGGAGGCCAAGGTGGCCAGGATCTGCCTGGTGGCGGTCTACAGCGTCGTCTGCTTCCTGGGAATCCTGGGCAACGGCCTGGTGATCGTCATTGCCACCTTCAAGATGAAGAAGACGGTGAACACGGTCTGGTTCCTCAACCTGGCCGTGGCGGACTTCCTGTTCAACGTCTTCCTGCCCATCCACATCGCCTACGCCGCCATGGACTACCACTGGGTGTTCGGGACGGCCATGTGCAAGATCAGCAACTTCCTGCTCATCCACAACATGTACACCAGCGTCTTCCTGCTGACCGTCATCAGCTTCGATCGCTGCGTCTCCGTGCTCCTCCCCGTCTGGTCCCAGAACCACCGTAGCCCCCGGCTGGCCTACATGGCCTGCGTGGTCATCTGGGTTCTGGCTTTCTTCTTGAGTTCCCCGTCCCTTGTCTTCCGGGACACGGCCAACCTGCACGGGAAAATATCCTGCTTCAATAACTTCAGCCTGTCCGCAGCCGGCCCTTCTTCCCCTTGGCCCGCTCACGCCCAGCTGGACGCTGTGGGGTACAGCAGGCACGTGGTGGTCACCGTCACCCGCTTCCTCTGCGGCTTCCTGGTCCCCGTGCTCGTCATCACGGCCTGCTACCTCACCATCGTCTGCAAGCTGCAGCGCAACCGCCTGGCCAAGAGCAAGAAGCCATTCAAGATCATCGTGACCATCATCATCACCTTCTTCCTCTGCTGGTGCCCCTACCACACGCTCTACCTGCTTGAGCTGCACCACACCGCCGTGCCCGGCTCCGTCTTCAGCCTGGGTGTGCCCCTGGCCACTGCCATCGCCATCGCCAACAGCTGCATGAACCCCATCCTGTACGTTTTCATGGGGCAGGACTTCAAGAAGTTCAAGGTGACCCTCTTCTCCCGCCTGGTCAATGCCCTCAGCGAAGACACCGGCCACTCCTCCTTCCCCAGCCACAGGAGCTTCACCAAGATGTCGTCCGTGAACGAGAGGACGTCGATGAACGAGAGGGAGACCAGCATGCTTTGAGCCTCGCCCGGGGGGCGCCCACCTCCCCTCATCCCCCAGGGACAGAAGACCAAGGCAAGAACCTCTTCAGCACCCTGAGTGCCCACTGCATTTTTCCTGGGGGAGGGCGGTGTTTAGAACTGGGGATCCAGGGCTTGGATGGAACAGTGGGAGAGTCTGCCATGACACAGCCTTGGACCCGCAACCGGTGCTTCTTGGGAGACCTGCCTTGACCAACTCAAAGCCAACGGAAGGATGCGTTCTGAAAAAAGGAGCTGTCAGGACTTCGACCGGGGTGGGCAAGAGGCAGGTGGATTTAGCTCCCTACTGTGTGTGCCCCAGAGATGACTCAAACGACCTCCGAGGTCCATTCCTGGTGTGGGCAGGGAGGTCAGAGGAAGCCCAGTGCCAGGCCAATCCCACCTTGCCCACCTCCACGGATGTCAGCCATCGTCAATCATTAGCCAGAAGTCCCGCCCCTCGAGGCCTTCCTCTGGGTGGAAATGCACAGGTTGCCTGGGAGAGGAAGGTGGCACAATTTAACCCTTGAACTCCTGGGACTATGGCTTCCATGTGGGCCCTTTGCAAGTTCCCGGCACGGGGGTCAGTGAGGGCTGCGGGCCTCGGAGAAGGAATGGGACAGGAGGGGCAAAGACCCCTTCGAAGGAGGCAGACGTGGAGCAGCTGGGGCGATGGTGCTTTCAACTGCAGGATTTTAGGGGTGTGGGGGTGCCAGCCCCCAGCCCTAGCCCCTGCTCTCACCCAGCATTTGTTACCTGGCAGTGGGGCCATGGTGGGGGGGTGCACCTGCAGCTCCCGCCCTCTTGCTGGGATTCTTCCCTCCTCCTCTAATCCACTCAGCTTGCAGCATCACCCTTCGGGGTGGGGGCAGGAGGGGTGGGACTGGAGACTGGTCCCACGTGCAGCTTCAGGGAGCAACCTCGGCGGCCTCCCAGGCAGAGGAGGAGGTCCCAGGACTCAGCACGGCATTCCGAGCAGAGCCTGCGGCGACTCCGGGAATGGTGGCTCCTGCAATGCAGACCGCAGACACGGCCTGTGTGCACCTGCGTGGCACCACTGTCCTCACCCGGCACCGGCACCTGCCGAGGGTGTCACTGCCGAGGCCCAGCCGGGGCGGGGAGGAAAGTTGCCCAGCATCCCACACAGCTGGTCAGTGGCAGAGACCAGATCCAGCCCTGGCTCTGTCTGGCTACATTCTTCTATGGAGAATTTTCTAGACTGGAGAGTGACAGCACTTTCTATGTTAAGCACTTTACACGTGTTATCTCATTTATTCCTCCCAGCAACCCCCCGTTAGGTACAAGTCTCACTCCCCTTTTACTGACAAGGAACCCGGGGCTCAGAGAGGCTAAGTAACTTACCCAGAAGCGCCCAGCTGGTCTCTGCCAGAGCCCAGATTTGAGTCTCCGTCTGCCAGGCAGCGTCAGGAAGGAAACTGGGGAGACCGGGGCTTAGTCTGAAGCAGATGAACGTGGCCTCTAAGAAGCTTTGTGAATTGTTTCCAGAAGACCTGACATGGGCAGCCCGCAAACAGCTCCACCTCCTGCACCTGCTGAGAGCAGGCTGGGGCAGGGGGCCTGGCGGGAGGCAGCCCCTGTGTGCCCTCGGCCCCGTGGTCTCAACGCGCCCACACCCTGGTCTCTACCCGTGAAGCCACTTCTCCAGCGAGACGCAGGGAGCATCGGTCACGGAGGCCCGGCGCTGGGCTCCTGGACTCACATCTTGTGAAGACACAGCTGTTCCTCTGTCCTTGGCTCTGGATGCACCTGACGAGGTGGCTCTGAAGTGACCCCACACTGAGGCCTCCGGCTGCCTCCCGGGATCTGAACTTGGAATAGCCCCGGGACCCAGCGTCCCCTGTCATCGCCATCCCCAAGTTTCCTGATGCAGCAGCCGAGGCCCGGACAGCGTGGGCTTTGTCCCAGGTCCCAGCGCAGTCCGCAGAGGCGCACGTCCTCCCAGGCCCTGGGGTGGGGCTCTGCCTGGCCAGCCTGAGGGAGCCAGGAATCTTGTTATCAGCAGAAGCGAACGTCAGGCCGGCTGTTTTCCCCCTCGGAGCCAGGCCTGGCTGGTTCTGGCCGCCCCGGGTCTTCCCGGTCTGAGTGTAGCTTCCTGTCCAGTACATAAACGTAACCATGACCTCCACTTTGCTCTCGACCCCACTGCTGCCTGTGCGCGTCTCCACGGGGTGCGCCCCAGAGTTCATTGCAGGGAAGAATTAAAAGGCAGGTTTGTTTGGCTGCAAATCCATTTTGAAAGCCACACATAGTTTTTTCATAATATGCATTTCCATGACTTTTTATTTTTTGAAGCCTTGCATGGATTTCAAACATTTTCCCAGTAAGACAAGCTTATCTTTTTTAAAGCCATTTATTTATTTATTTGAAAGGCAGAGTTACAGAGAGAGAGAGAGAGAGAGTCTTCCATCCACTGGTTCACTCCCCAGTTGGCCTCAATGGCCAGAGCTGCACTGATCTGATGCCAGGAGCCAGGAGCTTCTTCTGGTCTCCCACGTGGGTGCAGGGACCCAAGGACTTGGGCATCTTCCACTGCTTTCCCAGGCCATAGCAGAGAGCTGGACCAGAAGTGGAGCAGCTGGGACTCAAAACAGTGCCCATATGGGATGCCAGCACTGCAGGTGGCAGCTTTACCTGCTACGCCACTGTGTCAGCCTCAAGCTTATCTCTTAATCCCATTTCCCCACAAACCTTTCAAAGCACCCTGGCACATAACCTGCAGTTTTCAAGAAGTCCACAGGGAGCAGCCTGCCCAGCGCCCCAGAGCCTGCCCAGACCCAGGACCCAGGCATGGGGCCACAGCGCCGCCTCCTGGACAGGTGGATCAGAGGCAGAGGGGCAGGAGGAGAAGACGTTGGGGGCAGGGGCACCAAGGGGGAGGACATGATGGCGAGGGAAAGGCACCCGTCTTCCACCAAGCATCCAGTGTGCATCAGACACAAACCTCCAAAGCCCAGGTTGGCCCTCTGGGAAGAGGCCTGGCCTACCCATGTGGGTGACACGGGGAGTGGGGTCCCAGGACAACCCTCCCCCACCTTGCACAGGTGGCTACGTGATGAACCAGGTCTACTGCCTGGGCTGCGTTTGTTCAGTATCAGGAAGGAAGGAAGGAGGGGGAGGGGGAGGAGGAGAGAGTGGAGAAGAGGGAGGGGGAGGGGGAGAAAAGGGGAGGAGGAGAGAGGAGGGGGAGGGGGAGAGACATCCAACCATCCATCCACCCACCCATCCACATAACCACCCTTACATCCACCAATTCACCTGTTCCATAACAAGCGTATTTGGTTTCTTCTGTTGGCCAGGTCCTGTAGGCAGTGGGATCCAGGGGTGACCAAGATACACCCAGTCTCTGTGCTCATGAGCTTCCTCTCTGCCAGTGGGAGAGACCACCAGTAATCCAAATATGCACAGCCCCAGTGGAAAGCAGCCCCTGCAGGTGCCACCCACACGTCAGAGAGGGGCCAAGGCCACGTCCCTGGGGAGGGACACTTCATTTGCGAAGGGGAGGAGGGGCGGGCATTGCTTTGGTGGGGAGGTGCGGGGTTGGGGGGGGTGGTCTAGGTGGACGAGGCAGCAGGAGCAGTGGCGCTGGTGTGGGAGGGAACAGTGATCGCCAGGGACTGAAAGGGGGGTGGGGGCTGCAGCCGACGGCGGGGGAGGGGGTGAACGTAGCACCAGGTGCTGGGCAGGGGCCCACTGAAACCTGCATGATGTCCCGGGCTGTTCTGCAAGGGACACAGCGGAGGGAGTGGGGCGGGGGCCTGCTGCAGCTTTCCTGGGCCATGGTGCTGGAACTGGGGAAGCTCAGGTAGCAGGAAGAGGACTCGCGGAGAGAGATTCAAACGTGGCCCAAGCTTTCTCAGGGGAGCCGTTAAACCAACCCTGGGCCCATTGCTGCTACACAGAGGCCTCCGCGTGTAGCTTTATTGGTGGAAATTAATTGTAAATATTATTCAAATTTCCCTCCCAATGCACAATTATATCCCCCTGGGGAGCCCTGTGAGTGTATAAGGAAGCCATATAAATAATGCACATATTAACCTCCGAGGCTCATTATGGCTGTAACCGGGGGCCCTGGATTGTGGAAATTTATGCAGATGGCACTGCAAGAACGCGGACAGACATGGGCTTTAACCTTGGAAGTCACCTGAGGTCTGTCCTGGAGGAGCTTCCAGAAGTTTCTCCCCTGGGACACGGGGCTAGCCCCACCCACGTCACCCCAGAAGCCCTTTTTCCCAGGGGTCCAGACACTGCTGGAGATGCCTGGGAACCAGGCAGGTGGGGCCTCGGAGCGCTGGCCAGGGGAGGAGGGAGCACCTCCCTCCACAGAACGCCCACCTGGTACGCAAAGCTCCCACCGACTGCAGGGGCAGCTAAGGCAAATCGCCCACCCACGCTTGGGGTGCACAATTTAGTTGCGCTGTCTCGGGGAATCCGTTCAATGGTTGCAGGGCCTGCTGCTATTTCCTGTACAGCAGAGGAAGCTGGGGCTCAGAGAGCTGAGTGACTTGCCCAAGGACACACAGCTACAAAGTGATGGAACTGAGACTCAAAGCCCAGTCTGCCAATCTCCAGAGCTCTCGCTGTAACTGTGACAGTGCCCTCTGGAAAGACTCATCCCTGGAGGGGGTAGAAGGAGCTACGCTCTCTCTCTTCCAGCATCAGGTTTTGAAAAGGTGGGGGTGGGGAGCGGGGGGGGGGTTGGTGGATTGCTCTTCCCTCTGGAGGTGTCTGGGAGAACTTGTCCCTTCCGTACGGATTTTTGAGTTTGGAAAAATACTCTGCTCCTCCCTGTGCCCCCATTTCACAGATGATGAAACTGAGAACCGCTGGTTAGCAAGACTGGGGCCTCCTGCCTCCCCGCTGGGGGGAAAAGGGCTGTGGAAGTGCTTGTGGGCATCACTTTACAGCATCAACCGCCAGGCCCAGAGACCCGGCATTCACCAACTGCCCTCCTCACCGCTTCGTTAACCAGGGCTGTGGCGCTGATCTGCTCTGCAGGACCCCTGCCCAGGGCCTGGGGGCTCCCGGGAGAATGCTGGCTGAAGGGGAGGAAGAGGCCTGGGCAGCTCCAGGAAGGGGGCCTGCTGTGTGTGGGACCTAAGTGTGCTTTCCTTTCCACTGTCCTGGCTGTGGGAGAGGGCGTCTCCATGTTGGCCAGGCACTGGCTGCGTGGGTGCCCTCAGATGGAGCGCTGGGCCCAACAGGTGCAGCTGCTGCCTGCAGTGCCAGCATCCTCCATCAGCATTGGTTTGAGTCCTGCCTGCTCTGCTGCTTCTTTCTCTTTCTTTATTTCTTTTTTAATTTATTTGAGAGGCAGAATTACAGACAGAGAGAGGGAGAGACAGAGAGAGATCCTCCATCTGCTGGTTCACTCCCCAAATGGCCACAACAGCTGGAGCTGAGCTGATCCAGAGCCAGGAGCCTGGAGCTTCTTCCAGGTCTCCCACGTGGGTGCAGGGGTCCAAGCACTTGGGCCAACTTCTACTGCTTTCCCAGGCCACAGCAGAGAGCTGGGTTGGAAGTGGAGCAGCTGGGACTTGAACCACTGCTATATGAGATGCCGGCACTGCAGGTGGAGGCTTAGCCCACTGTGCCACAGCACCAGCCCCTGCTCTACTTCTGATCCCGCTCCCTGCTAATGTGGCTGGGAAAGCAGGAGAAGATGGCCCACGTGCTTGGGCCCCTGCACCCACAGGGAGATCCGGATAGAGTTCCTGGCTCCTGGCTTCTGCCTGGCCCAGGGCTGACTCTTGGTATTTGAGGAGTGAACGCATGGATGGAAAATCCTTCTCCCTCTGTATCTCTCCCCCTACCCTCTTTCTGAGTTTCAAATAAATAAAGTAAGTCTTTTTTCTTAAAGCAAAACCCTGTTGATCTGCACATCCCATATGAGTGCACTTCCCTGCAATAAATCTCGCATTAATAGGGCTCCTTTAAAAAATGGCGCCCACAGGAACGAGTTGGCAGCTGGCAGCAGGAGAGAATGCATTCTGGGGGCTTCTTTGTAATTAAGAGAGCAGTTCTGAGGGGGTGGTCTCACAGGGCCTGGCTAAAGAGGCAGAGTTCCAGGAAGCGCTGAGCCCCCGCCCCACGCCCTGATGCGGAGCAGCTCTATCTGTGGTTATGGCCTGGGGTCGCGGGGGTTAGGGTTAGGGTTGGTCTAGGGCAAGGTATTCAACACCTCTAAAGCCTCATCAGTAAAATGCTTTCCAGTTTAATGAATTAACTTTACTTGAGAGAGAGAGATCTCCCATCTGCTGGTTCACTCCCGAAATGCTTGCAACAGCTGGGGCTGGGAGCCACGAGCTCCATCCAGGGCTCCCACGTGGGTGCAGGGACCCAACCACTTAAGCCATCACCGCTGCCTCCCAGGGTGCACACCAGCAGGAAGCTGGACTTGGGGGGCTCAGACCCAGGCGCTCTGGTGCGCGATGAGGGTGTCCCAGGCAGCGTCTTCAGGGCTGTGCCGGAGCCCTGCCCGGGTAGAGCGGGTTTCACTGGAGAGTGCAGCCTCCGGGGTGCTGGGAAGGATGAACGAGACGCCGTGGGGTAGCGTGCAGTCCCCTTTGTCTGCACACGCAGCAGCCTCCACGCTGGTCTCCCTTTCAGCTTTGCCCCCATGGTTCCCTCACCGCGCTGCGGCCAGAGGGAGTGCCCACCTAGACCATCACCCCTGCCCCGCCCACAGAGCCCTACAGGTCTGGACGGGGGCGGGGGGGGGCTCCTTCCCCTTCTTTATCCCGTGCCATTCTCCAGCCAGGCGGCCCTTCTGGTCTCCCCAAAACAAAACAGCAGCAGCACCCCCCACCCAGCCCGGGTCTGCTGCAGGCTTCGCACTTGCTGGCCCTGGGCCATGCTGCCTCCGCTCCCCGAGGCTGCCTCCTCCACCGGCTTCCGGTCCCTGCTCAGACGTTGCCCACTCAGAGGCCTTTCGAAGCTGAACCTACCCGGTCCCTGTCTCTCAGAGCCCCACACTTGCTGCCATCTGAGATCACTGTGTTGATGTATGTGGCTGCTCCCTGGAGTCTGTGGCCTCCTGCGTGGTGAGCTCTGTCAGGGCAGGTCCCTGTTCCGTCTTGTCCACAGCGATGTCCCTCAGCATCGCAAGCAGAGCTCGGCACAGAAAAGCTGCTCAAAATGCTTTTGTAAAACGAAGAGAGAAATAACAACAAGCTGCCTTTATTTTGATCACCATCACCATCATCACCTTCATCACCATCATCCTCATCACCTTCATCACCATCACCATCATCACCTTCATCACCATCACCATCATCACCTTCATCACCATCACCGTCATCCTCATCACCTTCATCACCATCACCATCATCACCTTCATCACCATCACCATCATCCTCATCACCTTCATCACCATCACCATCATCACCTTCATCACCTTCACCATCATCACCTTCATCACCTTCACCGTCATCCTCATCAACCTCCAGGATGATGTCTATTCAGACACTGCTCTTCCAAGGTGCTGTCATATTTCTTTCTCTCTCAGTGAAACTCGGGGGAGGCCAAGATTGTCCCCCATTTCACAGACCTGGAAACTGAGACCCCAGGCCACTTAGTCTGGAAGCAATGAGGGCTTGTCCCTCCCACAGCCTCTCCCTCCCCACTTCTCCCCCCCCAGCCCCGCCTGATTTATTGCAGCCCAGAAAGAGAGGACTCAGACCCCGCCCCCACTCCTATTGTTTTGTAAACCTTTTCCGGGCCAGGACTCCACGAAGGCTTTGGCTGGTATCATTGTGACCACAAACTTCCTGTGTTTATGCCTCCTCTTGGGAATCGTAAGTGAACCAATCAGCTGGGCACGGGCGCTGTGCTGGGCACCCGGCAACGCTGTGACGCCAAGCTCGGCCAGACACTCAGGAGTAGCCCCATGCCCGGGCGGCGGGGACCCATGCACCTGCCCTCGCCTGCTGCCTCCCGGGGCCTGCAGCATCAGCAGGAGGCTGAACTGGAAGCAGAGCTGGGGTCGAGCCCAGGCTCCCTGATACAGGATACCGGCTCCCCAGGTGCTGTCTCAACCGCTGTGCCAGGGCCCCCCCCGCCCCCGCGTTCTGCACCACTGCTATTCCTGTAACCGGTCACTGAGTGTTTTCTCCATGCAGCCGTGGTTGGGGGAGACCCAGCAGAAGCACCACGGTGCATCTCAGCCAGCCCTTGTGACGGCCACTTAGTTTGCTTCCTTTCTAGAACATGGTACTCTTGTCACCACGATCGTGAGTCCTCCATGGGTCCCCCTTGGGCAGAGCGGAGCTGCCGACGGCAGGTGCAAGCCCTGGGAAGCTGGCAGACCTAACTCGCCTGCGCTTCCAGCCCTGCCCCACCCTTGAAGCACAGGAAAGAGCCCTCTGGAAGCTTCGAGAAGAGGCTGGGCAGCTGGGGAGAGAGGGCACGGGGTGGGCAGAGCCCATGGGCTCCAACTCAGCCGTCCGGCCGCTCTGGGCAGCCAGCTTCCACTGCGAGCTTCGTTTGCTCCACCGGGAGCAAACGAGTGTCCCAGAAACACCTGGCGGGGCCGTGTGCAGAGCTCACAGAGCTCCTGGGAGATGGCCTGTGCTTAAAACCCAAGCAGCTCTCGCGTTTTATTCTTTTTTTTTTAACTGAAACTACAAGACTGTATTTGCTTTGCTGTCTCTGGGGCCATGCCTAATCCAGGCCATTGATTCCGGAGGCTGCACGCATCTGCCTAAAGTATGTATTGGGGTTGCCTGTTTAACGCTTGCTTGTTGGAGTGTGCGAAGAAAATGAATTTCTCTGTCTGTAGCTGGTCGGGTCCTTTTTATACCCTTCCCACACCCCCTCCCCCAGCACACAGGGACATGAGAAAAAAAAAACAGGCAGGCAGTTGGCGTGCCAGTTAAGGTGCCAGCTGGGACATCTGCCACCGTCCCAAGATGCTGGTCTGGGTCCCAGCTCCGCTCTCCACTCCAGCTTCTGCCCATGTGCATCCTGGGAAGCTCCAGGCGATGGCTCGCGTCCTTGGGTCCCTGATACCCATGCTGGAGTCTCGGATGGTGTCCCAGGCTCCTGGCTTGGCCCGGCCCAGCCCCGGCTGCTGTAGGCGTTTAGGAAGTGAATCAGTGGATGGAATTTGCATGTGTCACTTTGCCTTTCAAATACATAAAAATACAATAAATGAAAACTTTTAAAAATGAAAGAACAAAGAATTGAGCTTTGCCCTGGTTGTTGTAGGGTGTCCCCGTATCCCTGGACGCTGATGTGCGAACCTCGTGCCTCCTGATAGAGCCCTCTTTGGAGACAGGGTCTCCGCAGAGACCAGCAAGTTAGAGTGAGGGCCTCAGTGGGCCATGTGGGCCAGGATCTGGCACAACTGGTGTTCTTCTTCTTTTCTTTTTAAAGACTTATTTATTTATTTGAAAGTCAGAGTTACACACAGAGAGAAGGAGAGGCAGAGAGAGAGAGAGAGAGAGAGAGAGAGAGGGCTCCCATCCGCTGGTTCACTCCCCAGTTGGCCACAACAGCTGGAGCTGCACTAATCCAAAGCCAGGAGCCAGCAGCTTCTTCTGGGTCTCCCACGTGGGTGCAGGGGACCAAGGACCATGCACTTTTACTGCTTTCCCAGGCCATAGCAGGGAGCTGGATTGGAAGTGGAGTAGCCGGGACTTGAACTGGCGCCCATATGTGATGCCGGCACTGCAGGCTGCGGCTTTACCAGCTATGCCACAGCGCCAGCCCCAGCTGGTGTTCTTGTGACAGGAGAGAGGTGGCCACAGAGATCAGGTGCAGTCACAGGGAGAGACAGCCATCTCTCAGGGGCCCCCAAAAAGTTCATGGAAACTGGAATTAAAAGAGAAGTTCCTGGCTCCTGGCTTCAGCCTGGCCCAGCCCTGGCTGTTGCAGCCATCCAGGGAGCGAAGCAGCAGATGGAAGATTCTCTCTCTCTCTCTCTCTCACACACACACCCTTTCCAGTAAATAAATTTTAAAAATTTAAATCTAGGGGTCGGCTCTTGGTGGGTCAGGCGGTTAAGCCACTGTCTGTGGTGCTGGCATCCCAGATGGGCTCCACTTCGAGTCCCAGCTGCTCCACTTCCCATCCAGCTCCGAGCTGATGGCCTGGGAAAGCAGTGGAGGATGCTGACTTCCCCCCAGACACACAGACTCTCGGGGCCAACTGGACAAAGAGAGTGTCCCGGGAGCCCTCCGCTGGAGCCCCCTCACCGCTTCCGGGACATCGGGACATCGTCCAGAAGTTATTTTTGGATTCTGCTTACTATTCCAGGCAGCCTTTGTGTCTTAGTCTCTTTTGTGTTTTTGCACCGAAATACCTGGGCCTGGGTGCTGTGGTTTGGGCCAGGACTGGGCTTCTCAGCTCATGCAGAGATGAACCCCAAAATGCATCAGTTCGTGGCCCTGGGGAGGAGGTGGCCTGGTGGGAGGCGCACAGGTCACTGGGCGAGGGCCCTTGGAATGTGTTCTCAGAGCAGTGCTGCTGGGCAGCAGAGACACCGGCGGGCTCCCCAGGCACCTCCCCCCCCATTTCCTGGCTCATCATACACCTCTTGCCCCCCTACCCCGCGGCCACAGCCAGCCTCTCCGGGCAGCAGGACCCGTGGGGCCAGCTCCAGGGCGATAACCAAATTCAGCCTCCTTCTTTCCCAACGCCTCACCTTCCGTCTTCAGTTAGAGTGATGCGAAGCCAGTTGGTTTCTAGATCACAGACGTCCATCTCCTGTCGTCTGGAGGCTGGGAGGCCAAGCAGGAGGCAGTGGCAGGACTGGCGTCCGGCGGCTGCTCCCTGCCCCCTGGGGAGCCAGTGCTGTCCGTGAGGGCGGGGTCCCCGTGGCCCCCCACCTCCCACGGGCCCCGCCTCTTCATGCTGCGGTCCCAGGCCTGAAGTTCCAGCACGCGTTTTGGAAGGGACACCGGTATTCCGACCATGGCCTTCGGAACCTTAAACACGGGCAAGCGAAAGTCACAGAGCTCCCTCTTGAGATCCTCATCGTCAGCCGTGTCCCCACCGTTCACAGAGGAGGGAATGGAGGCTCCGAGAGGGGGCGTCGCTTGCCCCAGGCCGCCCAGCTGGGGAATGGCCGGGGTGGGGGCAGCCCGGCTTTGTCTGGCTGCCCCGTGGTGCCGCCCGGCTCAGGCTCCCGAGGGCTTGCACCTGCGCTCTCTGCGCTCTGTGGCATTGACTACCGGATGTCTGAGAACCCGGGGCTGGTCCAGGGCCAGGGTTCGGGAAGCTCCGTGGACAGGAGGCTGCTTCCTGCCAGCCCTGGAGGTTTCTCGCGTCTTTGTAACAGCAACGCTGGGCACCTGCTTCTAACTTCCTGTGTCTCCCGGCTCTGAGCTTGCCAGGAAGGAAAACCTCACCCAGGCCCTTGGGAGATGACGGAAGCAGACACGTGGGCTGCTCCCTGTGTTCTGGGGCGGGGGTGGGGGGAAGGGGCATCCTTGGCAGTGGGAACACACAGAATAACTTGCCTGCTCTTACCCCATTCCAAAGGCTTAGTAGGACGGGAGTGATGAGCCTTATTTTCATTTCTTCTTCTTCTTTTTTTTTTTTTAAAGATTTTATGTATTTATTTGAGAGGTAGAGTTGCAGACAGAGAGAGGGAAACAGAGAGAGAGGTCTTCCATCTGCTGGTTCGCTTTCCAAATGGCTGCAATAGCGGGAGCTGGGCCAATCCAAAGCCAGGAGCCAGGAGCCTCCTCCCAGTCTCCCACCTGGTTGCAGGGACCCAAGCACTTGGGCCATCCTCCACTGCTTTCCCAGACGCATTAGCATGGAGCTGGATCAGAAGTGGAGCAGCCAGGACTCAAACCTGAGTCCGTACGGGATACCAGCACCACAGGCCAGGGCTTTTAACCCATTGTGCCACAGTGCCAACCCCTCATTTATTCTTAATTTGAGAGAGAGAAGGCATGGAGAATGTCCCCTACCTGCCATTGGGTTCGCTCCCCAAATGCCTGCCATGGCTGGGCTGGGCCAAGGCTGAAGTTAGGAGCCAGGAGCTCAACCCAGTCTCCCACATGGGCCACAGGGATGCTGTCACCTGGGCCATCACTTGCCGCCCCCAGGCTCTGCCTTGGTCAGAAGCTGGAATCAGGAGCTGGCGCTGGGAATGGAACTCAGGCACAGTGATGTGGGATGTGGGCGTCTTAGCCAGTGTCCTAACTACCAGGCCTTTAAAAAATTAGAGAGAGAGAGAGAGAGAGAGAGAGAGAGAGATATCTTCTATTTGCTGGCTCACTTCCCAAATGCCCACAATGATCAAGACTGGGCTGGGTTGAAGGCAGGAACCAGAAACTCCATCCAGGGCTCCCATATGGGTGACAGGCGCCCAAGTACTGGAGCCCTAACCTGCTGCTCCCAGCTGCACTGGACGGAGAGCTGGGGCTCAAACCCAGGGCCCCTGATACAGGACGTGGGCGTCCCACGCCGTGTTCCCCTCTGAGAGAACGCCCGCCACCAGGTATTCCTGAAACTCGTCACTCCAACCCTCGCCAGACCCCGAGGCTGTGCCCACCTCACAGATGTGGAGACTTGGGGGTGTGCATTCCCACTGCAGCTTCTCGGGACCCCTTCAGAGCTGACCCCCCCCCTGCCCCCGGCATCCCAGGCAGACAGTAAAATCCTGCTTTGGCCACTTCCTAGTCAGGTGACGTCTGAACAAGTTGCTTCATCTCTCTGAACCTCAATTCTTTCATCTGTAAAATGGGCCCAAAGCAGCCACCTGGCAGAGCTGGAGCTGTAACTGAAATGAGACAACAGAGACCCGCTGTGCAGACACTCAGGGCCTCCTTTGGCTTTCCACCCCACCCCACCACTCCCAGGGAGCACTGGAGAGGAGCCAGGCCACGAGAGGAGGCCACGGCAGGTGTCTCCTCTCTCCCTGAAAAGCCCTGCCCTCTCTCCTCCCTCCGTTCTGTTCTACCCTCGTGGAGCTCACGTTCCAGCAGCTGCATTTAATTGGATTTCGCTTAATAGTTTTATTGATGCCTCTTGGTTCAGGGTGTGTGCAGGCCTCTGGGTAATTTGCACATTTTTAACAAACCAAATAAAGAACTGATAAGCGTAAACAAGTCCGTTTTAATTGGATTACGGCAGACGCGGCTTGGGGACTGCAAAACACAGAGGAGCTGGAGAAAAAGGGGGCTCCTAGAGATTCCAGATTTTCTGCTTCCCCCGGACCCCCCAGGAGCATCCCACAGCAGGCAGGCGAGTCCACGTCTCCCGCAGTCTGCTTACGTAGAAACAGTGTGAAATCCATGCCCCAGGAAGCCGTGGCTTCCCATGTGGTCTTTCTCGAATGGGGGGTCTTAGTGCTGGCCGGGTGGGACGTCGAGGCCCCAGCTCTTACAGGGACTTGGCTGTCTGTCCCCGGCCCCAGGCCGGCCTGACCGGAGGCGCACCTGCTCCAGGGGGCGCTTCTGGGGGAAAGCCCCGGCCAGCATCACCTCCGCTTGGATCAGAGCAGGGCAGTGGGTGGAGACGGCCGGACCTGGGTTCCCAGCAGCCGTGTGAGCTCAGAGACATCCCTCACCTCTCGGCCTCCGCCTCTGTGTCTGTAAAATGGGGCTTATGATAGCATCGTCTGAGAGGGCGGTGACGAGGCCAAGTGGGGAGGCGGGGTGGGGGAGGCAGCACTCTGAGCACAGTAGCTCCTGGGCTCGGTGCGCAGTGAACACAGAGCCTACCTTCAGGACCCCGGGGTGGAGGGTTCGTTCCAGGATCCCCGAGGACAGAAATCCAAGAATGCCCGAGTCCCTGATGTAAAATGACACCCCACGTAGTTTATTATTTAAAAAATTTGAGAGGCATGCGCGCACACACACGCACACGCAGATGGGGGAGGGCTCCTCTCTGCTGGGTCACTCCCCAAACGCCTACAGTGTCTGGGCTGGAGCGGGAACTTTACTCCCACGGGTCTCCCACACGATGGCAGGAACTCAATTACTGCAGCCTCGCAGGGGCTGCGCCGGTGGGAAGCTGGGGTCGGGAGCCAGAGCTGGGAACCCAAGCAGGCCCTCGGAGGTGGGCTGTGGACGTCACCTGCTCGGCGAAGCACCTGCTCCCTCTCCCAAATCCTTGAAGTCATCTCAAGGGAAAAATGGCCCAAAAAAAGGGGGGCGGGGTTTTACAAGTTCGGTACAGATGCAGTTTTCGGCTTGATGTTTTTGATTGATCTGAGGATGCACGGGTGCGAACCCCATGGACACAAGCACGGGCTGCGTAGCTGTGCTAACCACACTCTGTTCCCCCGGGGCCTCTCACCAGGGGCTTTCCATGGGGCTTCCAATATTGCATATGATGGTGCAAGCCAAAAAGCCCGCTCCGTAGCACATGGTTGTTGTTCAACAAAGAGTTTCTTCCCCTGTAGGGCTCAGTTTACCCAGCTGTAAAATGGGAGAGTCGAGCTAGTTCAGGGGGTGGCAAACTGTAGCCTGCGGCTCCCGGCCCGATTTTAGAAATGCACTGCCATGGTGTACATCTCATGCGGGTCGGCTCGCAGGCTGCAAGGGCTGAGCTGGGTCCCTGCGACAGAGACCCTAAAATATTTCCCACCTGGCCGCTTCCATCAAGTGCCTGCCTGCAGCCGAGCTGACAACTTCTACAGCCCATGCAGGGGACGTTTGGGTTCGCCCACCTGTCGCAGGCAGGGGTTTCCGAGAAGCAGAGAGTCGGACAGGGGTTTCAGCAGGACAGTTTTTCCTGGGGCGTCCTGGAATCCACAGCTAGGGGAGGGAGATGCCGGGAACGGGGCTGGGCAGAGAGGGAGGTGGCGCTGTGGTGCAGGCTCCGGGCCGGCCTTGGCTGCCCCATGCAAAGCTGCAGTTCTGACACCACCTCTGGGGGGCCCCTGAGTTCTCTTTGTGAATTAGCTAACAATTAGCAAATTCATGCACTTAATGAGGTGGAAAGCGGCCTATGATAACAATAATTAGCACTTAAATATCACCCTTTAACACCAGCCTGCTTTAAAGGCATGCTTATTAAGGAACCGCTTTCCAAAAAAAAAAAAAAAAAAAAAAAAAAAAAAAAAAAACCAAGAGGGAAGGGTAGATGGGTGGCTGGCTTCCCCAAGACAACCTGAGCAGGAAGTGGGTGTGACTTGGCCCGGGATGGGGGGAGGGGGCTCCTGCCAGTCTGGGGCCAGCACCTAGTGCTCCCTCCCCCATTCTTGCTCATCCAGGTCACCAACCCACCATCCCCTGTAGCCTCCTCCACACAGAGTTAGCACCACTGCTGGTGGGCTTCTCTTGCAGGAGAGAAAAATCCCCCTGTACCTCTGTGTCAAGAGCGTGAGCAGTGGAGGGTTCTGAAGAGGCCCTGGGTCACCAGGACGTCAGAGCAGGAGGATTCATTTCTTTGCACCCCCGAGCACTTGACCTTGCGACCTCAGCGGGTCTGGTGGTTTCTCTACTTGGAAGAGGAAAGCAAGATTTGTGCCTGTGCTCGCTGAGCCCGCGCCAGTGGGAACCTGCTCTGAACAGGAGCCCCTGGCAGGGACCGGGGAGTGACTGATGGGCCCGCACGCGGGAGACAGTCCTGGTGCTGTTGAGCCCCAAAGATCCTCCTGGTGCCTCTCCTCCTGCCCCGCCCATCTGCCCTCGAAAGCAGCTTTGGTATCCGCGCTGCAGAATCGCAGGTCCCGCCCGGGATGCGCTGTGTGCCGGGCACAACTCACGCAGACAGGCCCGTGACACGGGGCAGATTCCGGCTTTGGGGCCAAGGCTGCGGCTCAGGTCCAGGGGAGGCAGCTTCTGTTCACCGCACGTCCGCCCTGCACCGGGCATTTCACACCCGGAAGCTCATCTCAGCCGCGACCGGACCAGCGTGGCACCTTCCAGAGCTCAGAGCTGCACAGTAGGCGGGGGAGAGGCAGGAGCCCAGCAAGGCCCTCAGGAATCGTGGGTCCACGCGGCACCTGCCGCTGTTGCCGTGACGTGGGCTTGTCAGCTCCCTTCCGGCATCAGCTGGGGTGGGCGCCAACAGTCCTCCGAGGGCCGCCATTCGTCCCCTCTCTCGTGTCTTGTTTCAGGCAGGTGCCACACAGCCTGACTTTGGCCCTGGGCCTCCCCAGTGTCACGCACTCTGCTGCGCCTTGCTTTGGCCCGTGCTGCGGAGTTAGCAGAGCCAGGGACCAGGCAACCAGAGAGGCTGATGCGTAGATGCTTCCAAGTCCTGGCAGACGAGACCGCCTTGCAGGAGGTGTTGGCGGGGTTGCGCTGGTCACGCCACTGGCAGGCCCGGCTTCGAGAATGCACCTTCCGTGGGCTTTTGCTCGTTCTTGTCTGGCTTCTCTGCACCCCTCGCCGGATCTCAGTGAAACCACCCGAACATAAATCCTTCCTCAGGGGCTACTTTTGGGGGATTCCAAACAAGGACGAGCACTGTAAGCTAGATTTCTTCAATCAGTATTCACTCCAAAGATAAACGCTGGGGACGGAGGAGGTGGAAATGGGTAACGCAGCTACTCCGTGGAAGGCAGTTTAATGCAAACGCCCGCACCGCACACATCTGCGGGCCGTCCGGTTTCTTCCAGATGCCCCTACACCACAGGCTGGTTAATAAGCTGCACCCAGCTGTGTCGCCGTAGCTGTGCCCCCCCGCCCCGCCGCCTCACCAGCTCTCCTCCACGCTGCAAGGCAGCCGGCGTGGGCGCACTCCTAGGTTACCACAAATGCGTTTGCTCCCTGGCAACGCCCCCAGCCCCACAGCCCGAGGAGTGAGGCTGCCTGAGCATCCCCATCTCACCCAGCTGAGTCCCAGGGTACCTTCGCTTTCGTGTGAGGTTGGGGGAGCTCCCGGTCCTGCCTCCCCCCATTCACCGCGTGGGCACATGACGAGTGGCCCCTCTGCTGAGGCGGCGCCAGGGCCAGTGGAACCTGCCCCTGCTGACCTCTGGGGCCGGGTGGCAGGTGCTGTGTTGTGCCTGGGTGCTGTGCTGTGGTCAGCCACAAGGCTGGCCCCACCCGATCGATGCCAAAGGCAAAAGTCCTGGTGCAGGCACCGCCGACGGCCCGGGGAGCGCAGCGTGGTGTGGGCTGAGAGTCGGCGCCTTGGAGATCAGCGCTGGGTCAGACCAAGTGGCTTTCCCCGATTTAGGCCCCAAGAGTCCTCAGCGCTCCTTGAAACTGTGCCTTAAGACTCCGTGTGCGTGCGTGCGTGTGCACGTGTGCGTGTGTGTCCACATAGGCTCCTGCGGAGATAATTCAAGCTTTCAGAGACCCCTGCCCCCAACCAGTCTCGTCCCTGTCTGACCAGGAGACCTCCGAGGCTTCAAGGCCCTCGTCCCCTTTCCCCTGGCCCCCACCTGAATCCCACTCCTCCAGCATCCAGATGGCTGGGTCTGGGGCTGCACAGTTGCCATGGGAACCTGGAAACCAAAGCCACCGCTGAGCGCCTGGGTGCTGGGCCCCCTGCTCTCAGCCTGCTCCAGGCCAGGCCTCTGGCTCGGGCCCAGCCCAGAAAGATCCGGGGCACAACCGGACTTCTGCCCCGCCCTCTGTGCTGCACAGCCCCCCTGGCCCCTAGTTCCCCTCTCCTCTTTCCAGATGCTCCCCTTCCCTCCAGGCTCTGGACTCAGGTCTCCCGCCAGGACTAAATCCATGCACCTCGGAACCAGGCTGCCTGGGTTCAAAGTCCAGTCCCGTGGTTTCTGAGCTGTGTGATCTTGGGCAAATCGCTTCACTTCTCTGAGCCTTGGTTCCCTGGCTGGAAATTGGGGAAAATCAGAACCCCTGTGTCAGGGTGCTGGTGGCGATTCCACGCTGTGCTACAAGTGAGGCTCCGACTGCGGCGCCCGGGGGTGGGGGGAGGTACACACCGAGAGCCATCTCCCATCCTCCCTTCTCCTGGGGCAATGTGTGGGCAGGCGATCCTTCTACTCACTGCCCCAAAGCTCCCAAGAGTGCATGAATGACCGCTTGGTGCTCGATGCAATTGATGCAGTCATTGTGTCCTGAGCTTGGTGTCTGCTCACTCCCTGGTCTGCACCGGCAGGCACAGGACTCCCCGAGGTGAAGACTTGGTTTCACCCTGGTGGGGCTGTGAATACCCTTCTCTCTCTCTCTCTCTCTCTCTCTCTCTCTCTCTCTCTCTCTCTCTCACACACACACACACACACACACGATTGTTAAGTGATTGTGAAAACTGCCACGTCCAGAACAGAGTGGTGGGAGAAGCTGAGCCCAGTCTCGTGGCCAGGGGAGGCTGCCTGGAAGAGGAAGAGGCTGAGACATGGAGGCGGGGGGCCCCACGAAGGCGGGTTACAGGGAAGGACAGCAAGACTCGGCAAAGACCGGGTGGGGGGGGGGACCTCTGAGCTCCCGGCAGTGGTGCGTCGGTGGACACCAAACCACAGGCTCCACCGCCCACCCCAAATCCTCCTGCCCGACAGCAGTCACCCATTTCTATAGTGTGAGTGTCCCCAGCTGGGGCACTTGCAAGTTAGGCCCTGGAGGATGGAGCGCAAGCTTGGGAGGAGGTGCGCATGCGTGGCTCGGGAGCCCCAGGGCGACCCAGCCGCTCTGCAGTGTCAGCTTCTGGGGCCCACGCAGGGGACAGAGGGAGAGCAACAATTCAAGGGCGCTGGAAATACAACTCCAGGCACCCGGGGGACCGACCGGGGGTTAGTGGCTGCGCGCCCAGTCAGTATCTTTCAGTATCCCCTGCCTCATGTACCCAGAAAAGCAGCGGGGACCCAGTCCCGTGCTCCTGCTCGCGATGGCTACACAACCCTTCGTCCTCCCCTGTTGCAGCGGGGACTGCCCTGGGGACAGCGGGTCAGGTACACACATACCCTGCCTCTCTCCCAGCCGCGCGTGTTGCTGCGCCGGTCCCCACACCTGGCTGGGGATCATATCCTGGGCCCCATCTTTGGGGCTGAGCGGTTCAAGTTCTGGGAGCCCGGGGGGGCCCCCGGTTCTGCACTGGGCACCTCCCCTGCCGCTCTCTACCCCCCTACTCCAGGACACACACGCACAAGCCCGACCCTCGCCCGGGGCTGCCCCTCCCCCTCCCTCCCGGCCGCTCTCTGTCCACACTGCCCCCATCCTTTGAGGTTTTCTATTCCATCCCGGTTCGGGCATCTCAACCAGCCGTCAGAGGCCCGAGCGCCACTCCCTCCGCACGCAGCGGCCAGGCGCGGGCGCGCGGGTAAATACTACATCATTTCTTCCCCTCGGTGTTCTGCCACCTCGCACCCGCCCCCACGCGCCCCCGCCAGGCACGCCGCCAGGTTGCAGCGCGTAAATGTTAAGGGGAGGCAGTAAAGCTGCAGACGCGATAAACAAACACGCTGCTTTGGCGGGGACGGATGTCACATCCCTCACCCGCACGTCCCACTGCTTCGTGGGCTTCCACGCGGCCCGCATCGACCTCCTGCCCGGCCGGGCCCCGCCCCCGTCCACGGGGACCCGAGGCCCCTTCCCGAAGTGACTGCGTCCTCACAGGTGTTTCCTTTGGGGACGGTTATTTGTAGCAGCGTGCGCTGTGGCTGTCTCCCCCGTCTCCTGTCTAAACCTGAGCACGTTCTCATTTACCCAGTGGGAGAGAGGGCCACATCCAGGAGGAAGTCTCCCTCTTTCTCCCTCTTTGCCTCTCCATACTCAACCCTGGCAGAGACTCCGGCTGGCTCCAGGTTCAAATCCAAAGGGTGGCACCAACTGTGGGGTCTCCCCACCCCCACCCCGCCCCACCCAGGAGCTGAACCCGGATTTCCTGGAGGCTCCCATCACCAGCGAGGCTGGGCTGGCTCCCGCAGGCTCCTCCTGCACTGCCAGTTTATAAGGGAGAGGTGAGTGGAAGCCTCTGGATCTCTCTTCCTTCCCTCTCCTGCCCCCTCCCCCGGTCCACTCCATGCACAACCCTTGGGGACAGGGAGCTGGGTGGACTGAAGCGCCCTCTTCCCTCCCTCATCTCCACCCTGCCCTGTGCTCTCCCTCCCAAAGGAGCCTCCTCTCAGAGCTGCCCAGGCCAGAGCCTTGGGGTCCTTGAGGCCCTGTCACCTCCCTGTCCCCACGTCACCAAGTCTTGTGGGCTCTCCCCCTACTCTATATGCATCTCCGATCCCCCAGCCCCACACCTCTCAGATTTGTGAGTGTCCCCAAGGTGCCAGGCACTGTGCTGCTTGTATGTCACCACCCCTCTCGTGGGGACGATGAGGGTAGGGTCTTCACTGACTGTTTTAAAGCTCCCCCCACCAATCTCCCCCCATCCATAACTAAGGCGTGGGGCAGTGGAACACTGCCTGCAGATTGTGTTGCTAAGGAAACCACTTCCTTGGTTACCAGCCTGGGTAGCATTTGTCTCCCTGTGCCCGGTTCCCGCTGAGCCGCCCCCACTCTGCAGGAAGAATCTGAAGAGCCTCGGGGGAGGACGGCAGGGGTGGGGAGGGACTGAGAGGGAGAATGAGAGAGGGCAGAGACCATAAGGCAGAGATGGCGAGACAGGGGCACAAGCAGAAGCAGACGATGAAGGGAGGGGGTGCGGAGGAAGAGAGGGAACAGGAGGATGAGGAGGAGGGAGGGTTAATGAGCAGCTGCAGGAGATCCCAGACCACAAAGAGGGAAATAGAGCAGGAGGTGGTAGGCGGGGGCGGGCAGGAAACCAGCGAATGGGGGCAAGGGGAGAGGGGAGCCCCTGCCCCCCACCCCACCGCGGGCCCTGCTTCTCCCCTCCCACGCTGTGCCCTGGGCTCTGTTTGTGGCCATCTCTGGGTTGTCAGAGACCAGGGAGGAAGCCCGCCATCTGATGCTGGCTCCTGGAGTCATGGTGAGCCGAGGGCACGCAGAGAGAGAGAGCTCCAAGGCCGGGTGTGCCCCCTGCTCTGGGGACCCCCGGGGTCCACAGCTCCTCCTCCTCCTCGTGTTCAAGGGCCCTGGCGCTCTGCACGTGGAAGGCAGTTGTGAGCCCTTGGAACCAGGGCCTCCGGTGGCTCCAGCGCGCTGTTCCTGCTGCGCAGGCTGCCACGTGGGTCGGGAGCCCCTGGAGGTCCTGGCTTTCTTCGTCCCCACCACGTCCCGTCCCCATGAGCTCGGAATGCGGGTTCTGTCTGCTCTGTTCCTTTGTCTTATCTCGGGAGCTGAGAGCAGCCCCTGGCGCTCGGGAGACAGTGCTGAATGAATGAATGCACGGGTGCCGCCTTGGTTCCTTCTGGTTTGGAATCACAAAGATTTCCTTCATGGTTGCTGACAACGTGGGATGGGTCTGGCGGGCTCTGGCCACAGGCAAGGCAGGTTGTCCACGGCAGCCCCACCTCGGGCCTGGAGAGCATTTACACGGCCCCTCCCAGCCCCTGGCACGGGATCCCTGAGACCGCAGGGCGAGGATGCAGGAGAGCCTGGGGTAGGATGCTTCCTGGCGTCTGCTCTTCTGGCCGGGAGGATTTGATCACAGATATTTAGAGGGGTGACACGGGTTCAGGTTCAGCCGAGGTTCAGAGTCAAGGCTTCATCTGTGATGGGGGCGGGGTGCAGAATGAGGCCAGGGTCACAGCTCAGAGTGAGCAAGGCCAGGACCCACTCAGGGCCAGGACTGACTCCGTGCTTAGCTTGGCAAGGATGAGGGCTCAGTCAAGATACTATCTGTGTTTGTTCTGGGGCAGATCAGGGCTCAGCCTGTGACCCAGGTTGGAGAGCAATCAGCGACCAGGGTTAAGACTCCGTAGTAGCATGGGTGGGACCAGTCTTGGGACTCACTCAGTCGGGAACTGGGATAAGGGATCAGTGTGAGACGAGGATCAGGGATGCGTATGTGTGCAGGATCAGGGCTTAGCTGTGATCCAGGTTCAAGGCTGTAGGATTGGGCTCAGACCACACCCGATTCCAGCTTCCTGCTAAACAGGCACCCTGGGAGGCAGCAGGTCCTGCCACCCACAAGGGAAACTTGAATTCCCAGCTCCTGGCTTCTACGTGACCCAAACTCAACTGTTGTGGGCACTTGAGTGACCCTGACCCTTCAGACGGACCATCCCCCCCACGGCCCCCCTCACCCCCACTTCTATCCCCTCCGCCTCTTCCTCTTTCACTCTTTCAAATAAAAATGAATACATTAAGAAAAAAATACCTACTGGTGACACCTGTTGGGAGATGTGGCCCCACAGTCCGGGGGGCGGGGGCACTGTTACAGGAGGCACGCAGGGCTTTGCAGGCGGGTGTGTGAGTTCCACAGACACACAGGCCACTGCACATCGCCCAGGGCCTCCTCACCATGTCCCTGAGTCTCTCACACATACACGCACCCAGGGGACATCCCTGTGTGACCCCGCCTTGCACAACACTCCACCACCGAGCGCAATTATCAACAAAACTCGCATTTAATGAGGGTGTAGACCTGAGGGATCTTCAGAAGGAAGGCCCCCCCCCCCCCCCGGCAGAAAACTGGCGAGGGCAGGGGTTGAGCCAGAGGGAGCTGGCCTCAGAGAGTCGCCGGGGTGGGGAGGAGAAACACGGTACAAAATACATTCGGAGCCCCGTGCCTGGCCCTGGGTGGCCCCAGGTCTACTTGTGAGGGAATCCGGGGAGGGAAGCGCTGGCCTGGTGCTCGCGCCCTTCTCTGCATGGCTGGGGTCTGAGGGGCGGGATGTATTGGTCATATTCCTCTTAAAAAAATATATCTTTGTACACTCGCCTTCTCCAGGGTCTCTTTGCTGCTTGGGAGCCAGCATCCACCTGCACCCCAAGGCCTCCGAGCGACTGCTTCGGGGGTGGTGGGGGCCGCTCCGGCGGAACAGCAAGGAGGCTGTGACCTATGGCTTTTGCATCTATGCGGTGGGAAGGTGCGGGGGTGCGGGGGAGCAGGTGCAGGCCGGACATGAAGCCACCGGTACCCAAGGCGGGAGAAGAGACCGGACCTGGATCAAGGCCTTGTAAAATGATGTTCAGTGAGTCAGGTCCTCAGAAATCCTTTGGTTTGGTGTCTCAGCATCAGGACAAGAGCCCTGCGTGGAAAGGAGGGGCCCTGGCATGCACCCTCCCACCCCGCGGGGTACCCAAGGGCTGACTGGTGGTTTGGGGAAGGTGGGGAGAGGTCTCTTCCCGGCACAGTCCCCCTGGGTTTGCAGCAGGGACCAGGAGGGCAGTGTTAGATCGAAGTGTCAGACCGAAGGGAGAGCCCGGCTGCTGGGGCCCTTACCCTGGTCTGTACTTTGCGTGGTCTGGGGTCCCCTGGGGGAGGGGGGTGTTGTGAATGCTTGTGGTGCCCTGCAAATGGGATCCAGGACCCCGGGGTCACCTCCCAGGCACAGGGAGGGAAGAGGGGGCAGGACTGAAGCCCTGGAGGTGGAAAGGCAACCAGCTTGTGTCTCAAACGCAGTGTGGGCGCGGTGGCGGGGGACAGGTGTGTTCACGAGGCCGGGGACCCCACACCCACACGGCGGGGCCAGGTCGCCTCCTGTGCACAGGGCCGGCCACCCGCCCGCCCGCCCGCGCTACCCAAAGGCCCAGGCCACGGGGAAACTCCGCGGCACCCTTTCTTCCTGCGTGGAGGTGGCAAGCGGAGCCAGCGAGGGGCGCCCAGCGGAGCCCGCGGCGGGGCAGGGCGGGGTGGGGGCAGGGGTGCTGCGCCGGCTCTTCCCGGGGCCTCCGCGGTCATGCAGGAAACTCGTCCGAGCCATCGGCGGCCCAGAGCCGAGCGGGGCCGGCGCGCGGCGCCCGCATCATCTCGGGCGGTAGTCGTCGGGCACGCCCGTGAGGTTGCGGCCGCGCAGGGCGGCGTCCACCATCTTGATGTAGGCGGAGATGGCCTGGCGCATGTCGGCCGTGTAGGGGTCGTACTCGAGCTTGCGCAGCCCCGAGCGCTTGAAGTTGCCGTCCTTCTGGCTCTCCACGCACAGCAGCCGGTCCTCGCGCGCGGCCACGCCCAGCAGGCGGACCATGCGGCCCAGCTGCACGAACAGGTCCCGCTTCAGGTCCTCGAAGTGCACCACCAGCACCCGCTTGCCGAACTTGAGCCAATCCAGCGTGTGCGTGGCCCACCAGGGGGCGTAGTTCCGCACGAACTCGGGCCACTCTGCGGAGAGAGGGCGCGGGCGGTCAGCGGGGGGCTGCCCCGTCCCTTCGGGTCCCTTCTGGGCGTGGAACCCACCCCGGCCTCTCTGCCCCCTCCCGGGATGGCAGCGACACGCGACCGGGGCTCACTAAATGCCAGGGTGAAAAGCTGTATGAAATCCGATTTATGTGAATATCTGTTAATTTTCTATTCTAGATGACGAGATTACACAAGGGTACTTCAAAAGGTTCATGGAAAAGTGAAATTAAAATAGAACGTTTATTTTGGGGGCAGACTTCTAAAAATTATATATAAAAGGGATCTTCAAAGAGTTCATCGAAAATGTATTTCGAGAAAAATTTTGTATAGGTTTCAAGTTTTTTGAGCGCCAACAGAAACTTGTCATTCCATTTTCCTATGAATGTTCTGAAGTGCCCTTGTAGTATTATATACTGTGTTATAATGAGGCCTCAAAATACACATTAATGAAGCTGCTAATTATATTCAATCAGTCTTAGGAGGTCAGTGGCAGCGTTACCTCCCACTTGACAGGAGAGGAGACTGAGGCACAGCAGGTTAAAATGTGGCCTGCGGCGCCAGCGTCCCGTGTGAGCACCCGTCCAGTCCCAGCTGCTCCACTTCCGATCCAGCTCCCTGCTAATGCGCCTGGGAAGGCAGCGGAGGACGGTCCAACTGCTTGGGCCCCTGCCAGCCATGTAGCAGACCTGGAAGGAGCTCCAGGCTCCTGGCTTTGACTTTGCCCAGTCCTGGCCATTTCAGCATTTGGGGAATGAACCCACAGGTAGAAGCTGTCTCTAACTCTGCATTTCAAATAATAACAGATTTTTTTTTTTTTAAAAAGAGGCCACATAGATTTTGTCCTGTGTGGCTGCACAGCAAGTAGGAAAACCTATGGCGCTTTTTGGCATGGTGCCTTGGAGGTGCCCAGCCTGGCTGCATTGCTACTGTTGTTTCTGTTCTCAGGTGAGATACCTCGCCTGGCCCCTGGACTCAGCAGGTGCCTCCTGTGGGCCTCACCCCTTCCTCTGCTCCCTGCCCCCCCCATCCCCACTGCACTGACTGCACAGTGCTGTCACTCCCACTTGGGTCACCTCTGACCCTGACAGACTGTGAGGCATCTGAGGTTACAGCTTAAGTCAGGTCACTTACACTCGCAACTTTACACTCTACTCTTTAAAAATAAGTTTTAAGATTTTTTTTTTTTTTACTTATTTGAAGGCAGAGAGATAGAGAGAGAGAGAGAGAGAGAGAGAGGTCTTCCATCCTGTGTTTCACTTCCCAAATGGCCATAATAGCCAGGGCTAGCCCAGGCTGAAGCCAGGAGCTAGCACTCTATCTTGGCCTCCCACATGGGTGGCAGGGGCCCAAGCACTTGGGCCATCATCTGCTCTCTTCCCACGTGCATTAGCAGGGAGCTGGATCAGAAGTGGAGCAGCCAGGATTCGAACCTGCATTCTGATATGGGATGCCCACATTGCAGACCACAGCTTCACTCGCTGTACCACGCCAGCCCCTGTGTGTCTTTACTTTTACTGGAGTATCACACACTATTTCCACTTTCTGTTCTGTTTCTTTGCCACACTGGAAGGACAGTGTGGGTCATACCCCAAACTGGGAGGGTGTATTTGGGACTGTCTGACTTTAACGACCAGTTATAGGGAACACGGGAGATTCTTCGGGGAGCCCTGGAGAGGGCCTCAAAGGCAGGTGGAGCCAGCACCTGCAGCTGCTGAGACTCTGACGCAGGGAGAAACCAGGCACCTGCGGGGGGCGGGGGCGGGTGTGCCAGAACACAGACCGGGAACCACAGCCTCACGGCTGAGCCCAGCCGCACACACTTAGAGAGCAGGTGTTCTGCAGCCCAGAACTGAGACTCGGCCTCTCGCAGGGACTATGACCCCGGAGGGTGGCCAGGGAGGAATTCATTTACTGAACGTGTGTCAGTGAGGCCCCCAGGCTAGGTCAGGGAGCCCCGCTGTTCCTTAAAACTAAGTCCGAGCCGGCGCCGCAGCTCAGTAGGCTAATCCTCTGCCTTGCGGTGCCGGCACACCGGGTTCTAGTCCCGGTCGGGGCGCCGGATTCTGTTCCGGTTGCCCCTCTTCCAGGCCAGCTCTCTGCTGTGGCCAGGGAGTGCAGTGGAGGATGGCCCAAGTACTTGGGCCCTGCACCCATCGGAGACCAGGAGAAGCACCTGGCTCCTGCCATCAGATCAGCGCGGTGTGCCCCGGCCGCAGTGCGCCAGCCGCGGTGGCCATTGGAGTGTGAACCAATGGCAAAAGGAAGACCTTTCTCTCTGTCTTTCTCTCTCACTGTCCACTCTGTCTGTCAAAAACAAAAACTAAGTCCGAACCCCTTGCTGGGTGGCGATTCCCACGATCACATGTCATCCTCCCTGTCTGTCCCCAGAGGAAGGCACCACTGTGGGCCTGTCACCAGGGCCTGACCTGCTCTAGGAGGCAGCACGGACTGGCCTGCCAGTCAAGGCCTTGATGTAAGCCCTGCGCTCTCCCAGGCGCTGCAGCCTGGGCCCCGCCCGGCCCCCCCACCCCGTGCTCCACAGGGGCTCAGTGCATGGCTGCTGAACTAAATTGAAATTCTCGGCTGCCAGATTGCCATGAGATCCAGGGCCCTTCTCCTAGCAGAGCACATCAGAATCCGCGGGGAGAGCTCCCGCCCCCCTGGCCGCCCCGGAACAGCACGGCTGCTTCGGAAATATTTATGCTGGTGACAAGGCTATTTTTTTTTAATTCTTAACATTGATTATTTATGATGTCTCTGGCTAATTGGGCCCGTACTGTTATAATGGTTTAAGACCAGATGGATCTGAGCGATTAGAAAAGATCGAGTGAGTGTGAGATCAGGCTTCCCCCGCTCCTGAGTCACCTCCCAGCGTCCCTGGTGGGTGGGGGCAGCTGCTCCCCAGTGTGGGGGGGAAGCCTGGATGATGGCCATGGTGCTGGGCGTGGGCAGGAGGAGGGGCCGGTTAGCATGGCGGTTGGGGTCCCTCAGGAAGACCAGGCGCTCTCACTGCGGACACAGGCGGGGGGCGGTGACCTGTGTCTCTGTGGGGCACCAGGCTCTTCTGTCTGAGGAGTAGATGGGAATGTGTGTTGCCTGCGCACCTACTGGGTGTCAGGGGCTACATGGGACGCTCATTCCATGATCCCGAGAAGCCTAGCAGGACAGTCCAGATCCGTTTCAGACCTGGGGACAAGGACAGTCGGAGGCATGAAGCAGCCTGCCTGCCCAGGGCCACACAGTGTGTGTCCAAGGCAGAATCCAAACCCACGCACAGACTGGGCATGGCTCCCGGCAGCCTCGCCGAGCCTGGAAGTGCCCCGGAGGTGCCGTGCGGCTGTGGGGATGTTATCAGCGCTCCGTGAGCCTCAGTTTACCCATCTGCAGAGAGCCTGGCGTGGCGCCTAGGACACAGAACGCGCTGGGTAAATGCTGCTTAAGGCCATCTTCACATCGCGTGAGACACCCGCTGGCCCAGTTATTTTACTCAGAACTCCCCGCCCCCCCCCCAAAAAGCACAATAGAGACCCCAGCTGTCTCAGCAGGTGTCCGCCCACCCCTCCTCTAGCAAAGCTTACTTGAAACGTCCTTAGAAAGAGGAATAACTATTAAAAACCAAAGCCTCTGATTAGCTCAGCATTCCTGGCGGTTGTCAGGTGGGCGCGGCACCTGCGCTAATGAGGGCCGGTTCCACCGGAACCAGAACCTTCATGCAGGTGAGCCTGGCAGGGCGGAGGCCGGGCCCGTGGCTGCTCCGTCTTGTCGGCGGCGGGAGGAACCGGGGCCTGATTAATAGCTCCACTGTACTTAATTCCCCGCGGAATCATTAAACACAGGATCTGTTTCATTACACAGATCCAGGAGAATTCACCTTGTGTAATCACATCACATAAAATTTTGCTTTGGACTCACTCCAGGGAGGTTGTAAAACTAACGTTACAGAACCAAAAGCGGGGAGGGCGTGGGCGCCTGGACCCAGCCATAATGAGGAGTGGGACAGGGGGCGGCGGGGTGGATGTGCTCACCCCCAGGTGATCTCTGCTCTCAGGGATGCCCCTCCCCTCTGCGCCTTCTACACATGACGGGCATCCTGGAGCAACAGCTGGTAAACTTTGAAGCACACGCCACACCTGGTCCCCGGATGAGGGTGGCTCTTGTTAAAATGCAGATTCCGATCCAGGAAGCTGGGGCTGAAGCCTCTGACTCTGCTGGTGGGGAGGGCAGACAGAAGGCTGGGGCCTCATTCCTAGACCTTCTGCTGGCAAGGTCGGGGCGGGGCCTGAGAGTCCGCATTTCTAACAAGTTCTCCAGTGCCACTTCTGGTTCAGAGCTGGACAGCAGGGGTCGCTCACTCCAGTCCCCAGGGGGCCGGGTAGCACAGGCTAGCAAGGGGAAGCGGCTGGGTGCAGACCGGGTTCTGCCTCTCGGGGAAGCTTCTCGGCCAGGGCCCTTGGAGACCCGGGGAGGGGCCCCAGAACCCCAGCAGGAGGCGAGCGAGCATGCTGCCTCGCCCCACCTGTAGCCCCTGCAGCTTCCTGGTGCAGCCGGCTCTGAGCCCTGCCTTAGTGCTTTTTCTTTTTTCTTCTTCTTTTCAGGTGGCTCCACAAAACTGGGAGACTGAGGGCTGGTATTGTGGGGCAGCAGGTGACGCCTGCATGCCGTATCACAGTGCCAGCTGGAATGCCAACAGCTCCGCTTCTGATCCAGCTCCCTGTTAACGCACCACCCGCCATGGGAGACCAAGATAGAGTTCTGGCTGCTGGCTTTGGTGCGGCCCATCTCTGGCCGCTTGGAGGAGTGACCCAGTGGATAGAAGACCTCTCTCTCTCTGCCTCTTTCTCTCCATCACTCTGCCTCTTAAATAAGCAAGTAAATCAATTAATCCTAAAAAGGAATTATTTAAAAAACATTTAGGAGAATGATCTGAGCCTGAAGCAAGGAGCCATCCAGGAGGGCAGAGGCTCTGGGAACACTGGAAGGTGAGGAGCACCACTGGTGGTCCAAGCATGGCGGGGGGGGGGGGGGGGGGTATCCAGGCGTTGTCACCGCAGGGGGCCTTGGCTAAGCAGCTGCCCCTCCCCCAGGGTGGTTTTCTCCACCCCTCACATTCCTGAGGGTAAAGTGAGACAGCGAATGCTCAGCCCCTGGCCCCTCCCCCCCCATTAGTTCCCTCCCTCTCCCTTAAGACAGCTGGGTTCCTGGAAGGCAGAGGAGTGGGGTTCTAGGTGCCCTGGTGACCTCGGGGTCTCCACCAGGAGCTGGAGTCTGCGCATTGGTTCTCAGCCCTGCCTGAGCATCGGAACCAGCTGGGAGCTTTGGAAAATACCAGTGTCTGGTTCCGTCCTGGCAGTGGTCCAGGGTGCGGTCCCCATGGGATTTTCCCATGCTCCTCTGGGGACTTGGAGGTGATGGAAATGAGGGCCAGCAGCCCTGGTGACCCCTCGGGCCCTCTGCAGCTCTGACAAACAGTCCGTGTTCTCAGGCCATGCTCCTGCCACTTGTACCCACAGACGTCTTAGCCTGGCTCTGACCAGCATGCACTTTTGACTGTTCTGCAAATAAATAATTCAGGGGACTTTTTCCTCCTGGGGATACATGAGCCAGTGCCACCACCTGTTCCAGCTTCCAGCCCATGCCTGAGAGGAGAAGTGAGGCAGAGTGAGGGGCAGATGGGTCCCCTCGGACAGCGGGAAACCCCGGCACAGCTGGTTGGGCAGGCCCAAGGGTTCGGATTGATGACATTGATGTGGAGGGTGGGAGGGGGAACTGCTGAGCCCGCATCATCCTGCTATGCTCTGGTCATCTCTGGGGACGGAAAGGGCTTTGGAGCTCCTGTATGTTCTCCCATTTCCAACACGCCCACTGCGTGTGGTGGTTCCCAGCCATCAACAGATGGCTGCCTCCACAGATGCGCCTTGGCTAATGATGGGGTTATACCGCAAGCTGGTCAGAAATGCGTTTAATGTACCTGGCATAGTGTGGCCTAGCCTATCGTTGATCAAATGGCCCAACACAAAGCCCATTTTATCATACAGGGTTGGCTATCTCACGTAATTTAGAGTACTGTCTTGCAAAGTGAAGAACAGGATGGTTGTATGGATTGTATGTTTTGCACCGCTGTGAAGTTGCAAACTCTAACCGGGGAGGGCCCACGGTATGTTGCGGGCCATCCAGAGGGCTGGACTGGCCAAGACCCCATTCCTCTGCCTTCCGGGCATGCAGCTTCATGGAAAAGCTACTTCTCCGCTCAGCTGTACTGAGGCACAAATGGTGTATTAAAAAACTCTACATAATCAATATATACAATTCGATGAGTTTGGATATACAGTAATCAATATATACAGCTCGATGAGTTCGGATATGCAGATACCCTCCTGTTTCCGTTACCACAACCCAGGTTTGAAACAGTAGCAACATTTCCATCCCCTCCAAAAGTTTCCTGGTAGTTACTGTTTTTTGTTTGTTTGTTTTGTTTTGTTTTTTGACAGGCAGAGTGGACAATGAGAGAGAGAGACAGAGAGAAAGGTCTTCCTTTGCCGTTGGTTCACCCTCCAATGGCCGCCATGGCCGGCGTGCTGCGGCCGGCGCACCGCGCTGATCCGAAGCCAGGAGCCAGGTGCTTTTCCTGGTCTCCCATGGCGTGCAGGGCCCTCCACTGCACTCCTGGGCCACAGCAGAGAGCTGCCTGGAAGAGGGGCAACCGGGACAGAATCCGGCGCCCCGACCGGGACTAGAACCCAGTGTGCTGGCGCCGCAAGGTGGAGGATTAGCTTAGTGAGCCATGGCGCCGGCCGGTAGTTACTGTTTCTTTGTGCGTGTTGTCTGTTTTTTGTCCGAGTGTGCTCAGAACAGGTAACATGAAGTCCACCCCCTTGCACTGTAAGCACAGAACACCTCTTGTTAACTACAGGCGCCATGCTGCAGATCAGCTCTTTGGAACTTATTCCCCTGGTCAGATGGTTGCCATGTCCTCCTGTCCCTGGCAAAAGGTCCTTGAACTTCAGTGTGCTTCAGTGGTGCTATCTATTACTACCTTGGGAGTTTAAGGAGTTAACCCCTTCCTTCCCAGACACTCCGGGGTGATGCTCACTATGGTGATGGAGGTCCTAACAGAAGGGGATTCAGAAGAGTTAAAGATAATCAAGGTGGGGGCTGGTGTTGCAGTGCAGCTGGTCAAAGCCACTGCCTGCAACACCAGCATCCCATATGGGCACTGGTTCAAGTCCCTGCTGCTCCACTTCCCATCCAGCTCCCTGCTAATGGCCTGGGAAAGCAGCAGAGGATGGCCCAAGTGCTTGGGGCCCTGCACCCATGTGGAAGACCCAGGTGGAGTTCCTGGCTCCTGGCTTCAGCCTGGCCCAGCCCCAGAAGTTGAGGCCATTTAAGGGAGTGAACCAGCAGATGCAAGAGCTCTCTTTCTTCCCCCTCCTGTAACTCTGCTTTCTATTTTTTCTAAATGATTAGTTTATTTACTTGAAAGGCAGAGTTACATAGAGGCAGAGGCAGGGTGAGGGGATCTTCCATCTGCTGGTTCACTCCCCGACTGGCTGCAACGGCTAAAGCTGAGTCGATCTGAAGTCAGGAGCCAGGAGCTTCTTCCAGGTCTCCTGCATGGGTTTGGGGGCCCAAGCACTTGGGCCATCTTCTACCACTTTCCCAGATCATAGCAGAGAGCTGGATTGGAAGTAGAGCAGCCAGGACTCGAACTGGCGCCCATATGGGATGCCGGCACTGCAGGTGGCAGCTTTACCCACTACACCATAGCACTGGCGCCAACTTTGCTTTTCAAATAAATAATTTTTTTAAAAGATAATCACGGTGGCAGAAGCTGGGTCTGACGTTCAAGCTCCGGCTGCTACCCTGGGCTATTACCCTGGGGTTGCATCCCCGCCCCCCCCAGACCTCTGGGAGTGCTGGAGCCGAATCCCCGAACCAGGTCATCTTAATCGACTCAGGGCCTGGGGGCTGCTGCCTCCCAGCGGTGTGATGTGGGGCAAGTCATTTAACCCGAGCCTCCCCACCCAGGGGTGTTGCTAGGGTTCATGGAACTGAAGCTCTGCCCATGACCTACTAGGACCTCATGGCCACACAGCCACTCGGCACTGAGCTGGGGCTGGACTTCCTGACTCCCAGGATAGGACCCTTGAACCTGCTTCAGTCAAGCCCACGTCAATTTCACGAGCTCCCCATCAAGGACTAATTTCTTAAAACCTCGTGGCTTTGCCATGCCCACTTTACAGATGGGACAATTAAGTCCAGAAAGGTGACACGACTCCTTAGGGAAGCGTGGAGCTGCGACTTGAACTCTTGGCAGAGGTGTTTCACCGCTGCGCTGTGCACCAGCCCAGCTCCCAGGGGCCACGCCTGTGGGTACGGGGGTCGTGGGAATCCAGCCTTCCTGGCAGTACGCAGGTCTGCACTGTGGGACCCACGCCCACCAGGAGGCCCCCCTGGGTTCCTCCCGTGAGAGACTGCCCTGTGTGGGCCACCCGGGTCCAGACCACACCTGCCCCTAGCGCAGCCCCGGCCCCGCCCACCCCTCCCCGCAGTACCTTTGCCCCTCCAGTGCGCATGGGCAGCGAAGCCGATGTGGCCGCCGTACTTGCGGTTGAACTCGGCCATGAGCGCCTTGTAGGGGTTGCGGATGAGCAGGATGGCGGCGTCGAAGGCCTCGATCTCCTTCTGGCCGCTCTCGTGTGTCTTGATGCAGATGGTCCGGCCGCTGCGCCAGTGATCCCGCTCGCCCTTGAAGCCTTCCCGTGGCCAGAGAGGGGACACAACCGGTGAGCAGGGCCAGAGAGGGGACACAGCCGGTGAGCGGGGCCCACTCCACCCCCTTGCGTGCTGCCACAGGAATCACTCATTCACTCACTCATTCATTCACTCTCAGATTTCCTGAGCACCTACTATGTGCCAGGCACAGTGCCGGGAGGTAGGATAGAAATGATTTGAGAGCCATCATTATTCAAATGATGCAAAAAATTTTTTTTAAAAAAAGTACTGGTGGGCTGGCACCGCAGCTCACTAGGCTAATCCTCCACCTGAGGCACCAGCACACCAGGTTCTAGTCCCGATCAGGGCGCCGGATTCTGTCCCGGTTGCCCCTCTTCCAGGCCAGCTCTCTGCTGTGGCCAGGGAGTGCAGTGGAGGATGGCCCAAGTCCTTGGGCCCTGCACCCCATGGGAGACCAGGAGAAGCACCTGGCTCCTGGCTTCAGATCAGCGCGGTGCGCCTGCTGCGGCGGCCATTGGAGGGTGAACCAACAGAAAAGGAAGACCTTTTTTCTCTCTCTCTCACTGTCCACTCTGCCTGTCAAAAAAAAAAAAAAAAAAAAGTACTGGCCACAGAAGAGGAGTATGCATGCTTGGTGACAGGAGAGGGGTCCAACAGAGACGAGTGAGAGGATTCGGCTTGAACGGGGCGTGGCCATGTGACTTGCTTTGGCCAGTGGAATGAGGGGAGTTCCCACGGAAGTCTCAGGATTCAGCACATTTCTGCTCGGGCTCCTGTGCCTGCACCATCACCAAGAAAAGGATGCAGACCTGGAGGCAGGGCAGGGACAGCCCTGCTCCCAGATGGTGAGAGGCACAAAGAACAGGCGTGGCCCCGGTCTGTGGTCCGGCGTGGAGCAGGCCAGCCAGCCCAGCCCAAATCCTGGCTTCTGGAGGGAGGGGTGGAAGAGGAAGAATTTCCTGGTCCAAGAGAGGAGGGAAGGGAGGGCCCAGGGAGTGGGAGCAGCAGGTGCAAAGGTCCTGTGTTGGGGGGAGAGAGCAGGTCACGCGTGAGTGGCTGCTGAGGGAGCACAGGGGGCGGGAGTGTGAGGCTGGGCGCTGTTGGGGGGAGGGGGTGCTAGGCCAGAAAGACTGGGAGGCCTTTAAAAGGATTTACACAGAAGGAAGGAGGGCCACACTCCGAAAGCTGAGGCGCCGCGAGGAGCTCTGTGCAGCTGGGGACGAGGGTTGAGCCGAGAGCCGCGGCTCTGCGTTGGATGCCGGCCTGAGCCCTACACGTGGAGTGGGCGGTTCCATCCTCTCCACGAGCCAGGGGGGATTTTACCAACGAGGACACTGAGGCAGAGCAGGCAAGCAGCTCTCCCCACTTAGGGAGCAGGGCCCAGGCCCAGGCCCTCCACGCCTCACGTACTCTGGAGAGCTTAAGGCACTCAGATGCAACCTTGAAGGCCGAGCATCAGTGCAGCTGCACAGGCCTTCGATACTGGCTGTGCTTCCAACCCATGTGATCCTGGACATCACAGCACCTCAGTTTTCTCATCTGTAAAATGGGACCATGCAACTTCTCTCTTGCACAGCCACTGTGAGAAGTCAATGGGGCAGGTAGTAAGACTCCCATAGTGGAGCAGGAGGAGACCCGGGATGAGGTCAGGTGCCAAGAAGCTGCCCTGCCTCATCTGACCTTGGAGTGCAGGGTCCTTCTTGCCTGCTTGCTCGCAAAAGTTCTTAATGGTTTGTGTTCTGGCTTTTTTTTTTTTTTTTTTTTTTGACAGGCAGAGTGGACAGTGAGAGAGAGAGAAACAGAGAGAAAGGTCTTCCTTTTTGCCGTTGGTTCACCCTCCAATGGCCGTCGCGCCGCGCTGATCCGATGGCAGGAGCCAGGTACTTATCCTGGTCTCCCATGGGGTGCAGGGCCCAAACACTTGGGCCATCCTCCACTGCACTCCCAGGCCACAGCAGAGAGCTGGCCTGGAAGAGGGGCAACCGGGACAGAATCCGGCGCCCCGACCGGGACTAGAACTCAGTGTGCCGGCGCCACAAGGAGGATTAGCCTATTGAGCCACGGCGCCGGCCTGTGTTCTGGCTTTTAAGGTGGGCGAAGGTGAAGGTAAAGTCTGGCTTGGCACCTGCCCCCGTTCCCAGAGCCTCGCAGGGTCGCTGGGCAGAAGAGCCAGGCAGGGAATGGGATTTCCTGGGTCAGCTTCCACCATGGGACTTGGGAAGTCAAGTCGTGGGCATGAGCCTTGCCTTGCAAATCAGCACTGGCCCGTGGCTATGACCACTCGGTTCACGGCCTTGCAGGCCCGGGAAACACAAGGACAAGGAAAAACTGCTGGCTGAGGAACAGCGCGTGGGAGGCGACAACAGAGCCTGGGACCTAAACATTGAGCCACGAGGCCGCACGGAGACGGTTTCCGGTCGTGCGTCCCAGTCCAAAGCCAAATCCATGGCCAGAGGGGACTGCCCAGAGGGAGCCTCAGCACACCATGCCTCCGCCTAAAATCCCTCCTCCATAACCCACGCTCGGGGCACGCCCTCAGGGTAACGCCCACGGCTCTCAGGGCACTGCAGGTGCTCTGCCAGGCCCAGTGCTGGCTGCTCCACCGTCCCACACCCGCCCCCTTCACTGTCCAGCACCCGCAAAGGATTTCATCCACCAAGCACGCCGTGCCGCTCCCCTCCATGTGCGCGTCCCCGCCCACACCGTGGCTCTCCTCGGGACACCCTCCTCTCTCTGCGCAGGCCCCACCCAGCCCCGGGGCACGCACGCCCAGACGGGCGCCCGTCACAGGGCTGGGTCGGTTGATGTTTGGTGTTGCTGATGGGGAAGTGGAGGCGTTAGCAGCCATCAGGGCGAGGACAGAGGGACGTCCTGGCAGGGCGGGGCTGGCTTTGGCCTTGCCTCGATGGGCAGAATTCCACGCCCTCCGCGCCCTGAGGAGATGAAGGATTCCCGAAATGCGAAGGCTCTCAGTGGGCCTGGAGATGGAGAGGGCTTTGGGGGCCGCGAGGCCGCCTGGTGCTGCCGGGGGCAGGGACTCTCCCCACCCAAGCTCCCAGGGAGAACTCACTGTTCCCCACAAGAGCTCAGGCTGCAGGAAGCATTTCTGAGGCACTGACACTGCGGGCCCGGGCTCCTGGGACCACCGCAAACCCCTGCCTCTCTCAGTGGGGCTTAAGGAACCACCCAGGGCACAGCCATAGCTTGAGGCAGGGGAACTGCCACGGCAGGTCTGGGTTCGTTCCTTCTCTCTCTCTCTCTCTTCTCCATCCCTCCCCCACCCCATCACGTTTAGATTGTAGCACACATCTCATTCTGTTGATATCCCTGGCACTCGGGTATAAAAACGTCTGGGCAAAGTTGAACTTGGGGAATGTTGTGGGCATGGAATAAAGCTTCTGGCTTTTTAGTCTCGGGCCGGGGGTCCTTACATTTCAATCATCTGGCAACTTTAAAAACAACCAAGGCCCCAGGCCCGCTGCCTGGGTGCAGCCAGGGTGCCCAGATCGTCAAAGCCCCTCCCTGGGCCTCTCCCTTGGCCTCACGTGTAAGGAGAGCAGCCCCTTGGACCCTGACTAGGTAGCCGGCTGTCCTGGTTACACACCATTTACAGAAATAAAAATGTGTATGTTACACCACGGCCCCGTGGGCGTCAGCTCGCAAACAGTACCCTGCTGCACTTCGGAACACTGAGCCGGGCACTGACAGCCCTGTGTGACGGGAGAGGAAGTGACAGCTCAGAGACGGGAGACTCTCACCCAAGGTCGCCCGGCCAGGAAGTCTCCCTCAGCTGATTTGCAGACACAAAGTCATCACCAAGGGCTGCTCCACAGGCCGACACAAACCCTGCCACCCCGATGTCCATTTGGGACGGGGTGTCATGCCCAGGGGCCATTTTGTCCATGGCCTCTGGCTTCCCAGGAAGCCGCCCAGGGATTTCTGACCCATGCCATAGAGTAAGAAGGATGTGGGCTTTGAAACTGGGACATTCTAAGGGCCAATTTCCAATCAGCCGGCTGAAAAAACTGTGTGGCTTGGAGCAAGCGATTTCTCCTCTGAACCTCAGTTTTCCTGTCTGGGCAGTGCATCCTCACGCCACCTCCCAGGGTTCCTGTGCTGAGATAAATCAGAACACAGCACCTGGCCCTGCTCTCGCCGCCTCCTGGGAGGCCGCAAGATCACGCACAGCAATCTGAACCTACTTGAAGTACCTGGCACACAGCTGGTGCCCCATAAGTGCACGCTGGGAAGCTACGCTGGAATTGCATCCAGAACACAAGAATGGTCAGTAAGCATCTATGAATGCAATGAACACGAGCACCCTGTGCAACAAATACTGTTGACTTCAATGCAGAGGAGACAACCAGTGAACAGCAGGTGCTCAATTAGTGCTCCCGGAGTGACCACAGTTACGTACCCCTATGGACAGCATAGAGTTCTTGGTCAGTAAGTACCTGTGGTGAGGCACCCAGCACACAGTAGGTGCTTGGGGGATGTCTGTGGTGACCTAAATGCAGGAGAGGGACAGGTGCATGACAGTGGCTTGATAATGTCAGTACTGCATGGGTGCAGGTGAGGCACCAAGAATGCGATACACAGGGCATGAAGGGTGGAACCTTCCTGGCACACAGTAGGACCTTCCTGGCACACAGTAGGTCTCAGTAAGCACACAGTAGGTGCTCTGGAAGGGCTATCCCTTCCCAAGCCCAGGGAAGTTTCTCTCCCGCTGCCTCCGCCCCCCTCCCCATCCCGTCTCCTCACCTTTGTTGTACAGGGAGCCGTCGAAGTAGTAGCTGCCAGTGTAGAAGCCGGTGGCCAGCTCGATGAGGTGGCGCGCCCACGTGTTGCCGGCGCCGGGGAAACTGGCCAGCGCGATGAGCTGCTTGGACTTGGCTGGGAGGAACCTTCTGTCCATGCAGCGATTGTCTGCACAGTGAGGGACACACAGGGGCCGGCATCAGGGGTGGGTGGAGCCTGCGTACAAGTCCCACCCCTGCCACCTCTCAGTTGTTTGACCCAGCACCCAGGATGAAAGCTTCTGTGGGCCTCAGTTTCACCATCTGCAAAATGGGGGCAACGGTTTCTCCTGCATCCAGGTTAATGAGATGATGTGTGAAAAGGGCTAAGCGTGTGCTTCACATAGAGTGGGGATTCAGTAAAAGTCAGCAGCAGGACAAACTTCTCCTCAGCCTCAGTCTCCACCAGGGCAGAGCAGGTCTTTCCCTCCCAGATGGAAACTCTCAATGGCGTCCATCCACACGGGGCCCCTTCCAGGGCTCTTAGCATGGCCTCAAGCTCTGCGTGGCTGGTCCTTGCACATCTCTCGAATTACCCCGTCCACCCACTCTCCCTCCCACCCGCCAGGTCTCCCTCCCCTTCCTCTGTGCTCTGCTCCTTCCTGGCTGGCACCTTCCTGCACGCTGTCCCCGTCACCACTGGTTCTTACTTCTCAGCTCCTGGCAGAATGGTTGTGTCCCCCCCGCTTCCTGTCGCCCTGGACTGTGACGACCATGCCCGTCTCCTCCACATCTCTTAGCACAACCGCAATTCGAGTAATTGGTCATGCATTGCTTAACATCGGGGAGATGTTCTGAGAAATGTGTCGTTAGGTGACTTTGTCATGTGAGTGGATTCGGGTTTGTGCAGTGAGCTGTTGGGTCAGAAATCCCGCCTGTACTGTGCTGGGCTGTGCCCACTATGAAATCTCGCATACAGCAGGTGCTTAATGGTGCTCAGGTGGGTGTCTGAATGGGTAGGTGGGTGGGTGAGTGGATGAGTGGATGGATGGATGGATGGCAGAAGGAGGGGTGCAATGGTGTTTGGATGGATGGTGGGTGGATGGATGGACAGATGGAGGAGTGGATGGATGGACAGATGGATGAGTGGATGGATGGACAGATGGATGAGTGGACGGATGGACAGATGAGGGAGGGGCACAGTGGTGGAAGGGTGGATGGATTGATGAGAGGGAAGATGGGTAAGTGGATGATAACCATATCGACTTTGTAGGACTCTTTCAATTCTTAAATAAAATAATACATATAATGTGTTAATACTATTAAGAGCTCAAAAGGGGAGTAGTTATTATTTTCTCTAGCCTTCAGTGTCCTCCTCTGAAATGAGTTGGGGGCTGGGGAGTGCCATTCTGATATCTTGATTCTCTGGATTTTCAGACACCTGGAGGTGCCACGATCATCGTGGTTAAAGGAAAATACAGCCCCAGCACCTCCCACTGCAACCCTGCAGAGTCAGGAAGGCACAGTGGGTTCTCGTGGTCCCTACAGGATAGGCGGCCCTGCTGAAGAAAAGGAACAAGAGGGCGTCCCAGGTCTGTATCTGGAGGCCTCAGGTCTCAGTCCTGCCTTCGTCACTCTGGGTGCATGGCCTCACTTGCCGTTCCCAGGGAGGCAGACAAACCTCCCTCCCCTCCCCTCCCCCAGCTCCACCGGCCCCTCTCCTGCCTTCTCTCCCACTTCTGGGCTCCCTGCCCTTGTATCTGGATTCTTCCACCGTCTAGTCCCCTACAGATCTTCCCTTTCAGCTGGCCCCATCACACTGGCATTCAAACACAAACAAATGGCTCCAGCACTTAGGAAACTCCCCCCCAGCACCCACCACCTCCCCTTTCTCCCTTTCACAGCTGCACGTCCGACACAGCTGTCCACCTCGCACCTCGCTGCATCTCCTCCCATCTACCTGCTACTCAACTTGTATGTGTCTCCTCCCTGCTCTCGCTCAGGCTCCCCTTGGCTTCCTGGCACTAAGTCCAGCCCCGTCACCTCCTGTGACCACTCAGCAGCATCAGGACGTCACTCTGCTCTTCTGATAATCCCTTCCCAGGGTTTTACCCGAGTCTTTCCTGCCCTCCGTTAACTCTCATTTACTGACGTCATATGATGAGCCTCATCGATTTATGACAACAGCCCCAAAGGAGGAGTTTGAAATCTTAGATTTAAATTCCAATTCTGCTTCTTATTTGCTGGGTAACCTTGAAATATTGATTTACCTGGGCCTCAGTTTCCTGGCCTGTAAAATGGGGCTATGGCGCAGTGATGGTAGGGGGGTTAAATTCTGGAATGGACAGAGCGTGCTGGTGCAGGACTCACAGATGCTAAGAGCCAGGTGACTGTAGCTCTCGGTATTGTTGTACCAAGACTGAGGTCTCTTTTCCCATCATGTTTAATCTGTTGCTTCTGAGATGCGCAGGTTTTGGAGACAATAAACCAAGGAATGCCTGTGGCTTTGACCTGGGAGTGGTTTTCAAGGGAACCTTCTGCAAAAAGGAGCCCTTTCTAGAGTTGGGATCACACTTTCTATCTTGACTGGGCTGTGGGCTAACCAGTTGATTTTTAAGTACACGTAAAATGTGTGTTTCACTGTATGGAAATGTTGCTTCAAGAAGTGACGAGCGTATTGAATATGCTGTGGGTTATAATCCGTGATAAACCTACTGCAGTACAATGATGGATTGGGAGGAAGGATGGGGGGATGGAGACCTGGAGAGACGGACAGCCAAGCCAGTGTAGCAGAGCTAACAAATGTCAGATCTATGAGTAGACGGGTGTTCCCTGTGTAATTCCTTGGACTTTTCTGGAGGTTTGGCATTTTTTTTTTCTCATAAGAAAACATTGAGGGTAGGGGAACTGGCTCCTTAATTCCCCTGAAAACAGATTTCTCCATTCAAATATTTCATGGGAAGCCATCGCCAACCCTGAAGCAAAGGCTGTTTGTTTTCAGCACTAAAAAGAAATTTTATTTGGTTCTTCAGCCCCATAATTGAAAGCAGATGGCCGGAGGCAGTTTATGTACAGCTCTGGATGCGGACAGACCCCAGTTTCCATCTTGACACTGAACAAGACTTTCACTTTTCTGAGCTCTAGTCTCTTCACCCATAAAACAGGACCAACCAACCTTACAGATTCAACAGAATCAAATGTGACATGATCACAGATTCTTCTTCATTGCCTGGGCCTGAATCCCAGCTCTCCCTGTCCTGGCTGAGTGACTCTAACTGGGCTATTCAAACTCCCTGTGCTTGAATTTGTAAAATGCTAACAGGGCTCATGTCACTGGACTGCTGCGGGGATTCGATGAGTTGAACCAGATGAAGGGCTTAGACGGCACCTAGCACTCTCTAAGTGTTCCGTAATTATTTAGTTCCCAGCAGGAACTTCAGGACTTAGCACCCAGTAGGTGCTCAGTACGTGGCAGGCATGGTGGACCAGCAGCCTGATGAATTGCAGGCCACTCATGCCTTCTCGGTGTGCAGAGAGTGCAAGGGCGACATGGAAAGCTGGAGCACAGTAACGGGAATGAGCAAACTCATCAATTAGACTCCTTGTCTGTTGCTGAAAAGGCTCCAGTATCTGCTCTGGCCACATCAAAGCCTTCCATGGTCACAGGGTAGCTAATCTGTGTGTGACCCTGACCTCCAGGCCACACAGAATGACCAACACTTCCCCTGAAACTCAACACCCAGCTTTCTCCACTGGATTATAAACAGAGCCAAGGCCACACTTGCACACTAGGCTCTCAGCAGGAATTTAGCTGTCATGGAAGCAGGCACAGTTGGCCACCCTGGAACCCCATCAGGCCAAATGGGGATGGCTACTGTTAGGGCTGTCTCTCTAGCTCTTACATCACCTTTGTGCAAGTCAGAACAAGGCATCACTCTTTCTTCTGGGCAGATGATCTGTCATCTGCAGTGCGCGGTGTGACAGACAGCATGTGGGATGGCTTTCAGGGACCAATTTCTTCCCAGGCCATGCCTATGCAGTGCCCAACCTACTCATCCATACACACAGACAAGTTCCTGGTGGATGGGGAGGAGTAACACTGGCCCAAAGGTGTTTTGGTGGCTCCCTGGGATGTGGGGAGTGTTATCTGCACTGTGGGCAAAGGTTTCCAACAGGGGCCTTGGAATCAGAGGCCTAAATGCAAATTCCTTTCATAGATGTGCAGCTGTGGCCAGCTCCCGATGCTTCCAGGTCTTGGTTCTCTCCTTTATAAAATCGGGACGATACCACTTACTGCGGACTTTGCATGAGGCTGAGATGAGGCTGGCGCAGAGTACATGGTCAGTGTTTCAGATACAGAGGTAGACTTCAGGGGCTTCTCTGGGGCTGAGGGTTCCAGCAAGGATGTCTCCTGACCCCCACCCAGGTATCTTCCCCCACTATGCCTTGGTCAGGAGAACAGGTTTCCATTGAGAAATGGCATAAACTTTGTGCCTCTGCCAAGTCCCTCAGTGTTCTCAGCCTCAGTGTCTTCCCCCGTAAAGTGGGGCATATGACTGCTCCACCTCGTTAGAGAGCTGAGGGGATCCCGTGAGAAAATGCACACGAAGCACTCAACACGGAGTCTGGCCCAGAGTAAGACTCTGAGGAACCCAAGTGCTGCTGTCTCATCACCGCCATCATCACCACTATCATCATGCTGACATCATCATCAATTCCATCATTACATCATCACTCTGCAATCACCACATCACCGTCATCATCACCATCATCACCACTATCATCACCCCATTACTACTCTGTCATCACCATCATCACCATCATCATCACCATCACCATCATTATCACCATCACCATTACCATCACCACCACCATCACCATCACCATGTCTGAAAGTCCCAGGAGGCAGAAGAGGGTATAAACAGTGAGTGTGGACGCCACTAGTCAAAGAAGGAGGAAGGAAGTGGGAAGGATGAGTGACACACAGAAAGGGGAAGGAGAGAGAAAAGGAGGATCTTACACATTGATGGCCCTTAGAAGTTAACAGCACACAGCTCCACTTCACAGACAGGAGACTGAGGCCCAGGAGAGGGGGAGAGCACACAGTGGATCTGGCGGAAGCCAGTGGGAGGCCGGCCTCCCCAGTCTCACTGCCCCCAGCACAACAGGAGAGCGGGCAGCAGCACTCACTGGCAGCAGCACTTCCACCCCTACCCCGAGACACAGAAGCTGGGCCAGGCTCCCCGGCCCTGCCCTCTGCCCTCCAGCTGGCACCAGTCTCTTCTTGCCCCAGGCCTCGTGGAATGGGCTGGGAGAGCAGCAGGGGCCCCAGGAGGGGAGGCCGGGCTTACCTTGCACCTGTGTCTGGTACACGATGAAGTAACTGGGAGTCCCACAGCTCTCAAACTCCTCAGCGCTGCACTTCTGGGCACAGAGCTGCTCGTCTTCTCTCTCGTGCAGCGGGAATCGGGTGGTGGGGAAACCGCAGTGGCAGGCAGTGCCCGCGAGAGCCGCCAGCGGGTACTCCTGGGGACGGAGTGGGAGAAGAAGGAAGAGTCGTCACGTCCCTGGGCCATCTGGGCTCCCAATGTCCACTTTCCCCCCACTCAGGGTCCCCAAACCTTCACCTGGGAACCCCGCCTTTATCATTTTTTTATCATTTCACCCGATCCGTGTAATCTCTGTATCGTTATTTATTTGTTTCCTTGAAGTCAGCTCATTTCTTGAAACCTACATTTCTTTTTTAACATTGTATTTTTTAACATTGTATTTTAACATTGTATTGAAATCAGTGTATACACCAAGAAATGGACATAAAAGTGTACATATGCATTTTCTGTGCTCCAAGTACACTCAAAACTGACACCCAAGTTAAGAACAATATCATAATTAGTACCTCAAGAGTCCTCACTATTCCCCGCACTCCAGTTTCTTAACAAGGGGAAAAAAGAATATATTGTCATTTACCTGCTATGAACCAGTGAAGCAATATTTATAACTAAATACCAAATGATGGGTCATCCGTGCAATTCTGATACTTGCTCTGAATATTAACTTTCACAAATAAGAGAAAACATGGTATTTGTCTTTCTGGGTCTGGCTCACTTCATTTAGCATAGTGATCTCCAGTTGCATCCACCTTGCTGTGAATGTCAGGATTTCACTCTTTTTTGTAGCTGAGTAATATTCCAGTGCCTGTCTGTACCACGTCGCCTGTATCCGCTCGTCAGTTGCAGGACATCTAGGTTTACTCTATATCTTGCCTATTGTGAACTGAGCTGCTATAAACATGGGAGTACAGGTAACCCTTTCATATGCTGCTCTCATTTCCTTAGGATAAACGGAACTCAAATTGCAAAGGGACCTTGGTGTTGCTACCCCAGGTATTCCTTGTGGACAAGTCACAGCTGCATACAGTAAATGCAAAGAGTGCAGCAATCCACATCTGTGGGCTCAACCGACTGTGGATGGAAAACACTTTTAAAAATCTGTATCTGTGGGGCCGGCGCCGTGGCGCACTAGGTTAATCCTCAGCCTGCAGCTCCGGCGTCCCATATGGGTGCTGGTTCTAGTCCTGGTTGCTCCTCTTCCAGTCCAGCTCTCTGCTATGGCCCGGGAGTGTAGTGAAGGACGGCCTAAGTGCTTGGGCCCCTGCACCCGCAAGGGAGACCAGGAAGAAGCACCTGGCTCCTGGCTTCAGATTGGCGCAGCTCTGGCTGTTGTGGCCATTTGGAGAGTGAGCCAATGGAAGGAAGACCTTTCTCTGTCTCTCTCACTCTCACTGTCTGTAACTCTATCTGTCAAATAAATAACAATCTTTAAAAAAAATCTGTATCTGTACTGAACGCACACAGACTTTTTCCTTGTCGTTATTCCGCATCCAGTGCGGTGACTGCTGACCTGCGTCGGGTATTACATGCCATCTGGAGATGGTTCACAGGCACAGAGGACATGTGTAGGTTGGATGCAAATACTACGCCGCTTTACGTCGGGGACTCGAGCATCCTCAGATTCTGGTAGCTGCAGGGTCCTGGAACCAATCCCCTGTGGACCCTGAGCAAAGACTGTAATTAAATTCTACCTGGGCACTCTCTGCCACGATTCTGAGCCTGAGGTTGGCTCCACCTTTCCTGCAAAGGGGAGATTAGTGGAGGATAGAGACATTAAAGGCACTTTAGCGTGGAGACAGAGCTGTCTCCTGGAGGACTTGAAAGAGAACTGAAAAAGAAATGGCTCTCTCAGTATCATGCAATATTCCACGGTAAATGCCCCCTTGGTCTGACAGAGACACAGCACTTGCACTTGGGGGAAGCTATCTGAATCTGTTCTCTGAAGCCAAGGAGAATACTGATACCAACGTGTGTGCAGGGTTTACAGGGAGGGCTGCTCCTGACTGCTTCATTTGCTCTACAGAGCAGCTACACAGGAGCAGGGCGGACCTGAGGGTTTGAGGGCAAGGAGCTGTCCTTGTCAAATTTGCCTCTAAACCCGACCCACAGCTCAGAGTCCTCCCTGGTAGCTGGAAGAACTGGGTAACAGATCAAGGTCACACCTGTGTATACGGCTGGATCCAGTGAGACTTGTCACCACAGGTTTGGTTTCTTTCTAACAGATATTAAATATGACTTGTGGTACCTAGCTGGAGAGAGGAGGGAGGGAGGGGGAGAGAGAGAGGGATTGAGGGGGAGAGAGAGGGAGGGAGGGAGAGAGAGAGAAGAGAGAGAGAGAGGAGAGAAAGGGAGGGGGGAGAGAGAGAGAGAGAAGAGAGAGAGAAGAGAGAGGAGAGAGAGGAGGAAGAGGGAGAGGGAGAGGGAGAGAGAGAGAGAAGGGGAGGCACTGCTATGCAGGTGCATCCGTATGGACCATTTTCTAACTAGCAACCCACATGGTGCCTCCCTGACCTGTTAAACTTCAGGGCCTCTACCACGTGGCAAAGTGGCTCTCTATATTCTACCATTTGGTCCCTTCAGTGCCTCTCCTGTAGTGCCCAGGGAGACCAGACCAGAGACAGCGGGGAGCGGACATCCGCAGAGGGCTTTCCTGTGCACTGATGTGCGCCTATGCTCCTCCCCAGGCTGTGCAGCTGCACTGTCACACTGGCTTGCCTTGACCTCACCGTCTCAGGCTTGTTTGTGCACTCACTTCCAGCCCATCTGCAGCTTCCTCTAGGGCCCTCAGGGAGTCAGAAACATGTACCCGGAGGGGATGCCACGTGTGTGGGGGACTCCATGATGGCCACGCCTCCTTTCACCTCACAGATTCCTCTCCCCACCTTCTGGGATGCCTGTGAGGAGCACAGGGAGCACTCAGGAAAAGCTGGGCGACTTGAAGGAGTCTGGTGCCCGGGCACAGCTCCTGGAAGCCTCCCTGTGGTCGCTCAGAACTTGAGAGCATGGCTTTGGAGTCAGTCCCAGAGGTCAACCCCAGCTCTGCCGCTCTCTTGTGCCATGAGCTTGGGTAGGTGACTTTGCCTGAGTCTCGGTTTTCTCAGCTGTGGAGTGGGGATGGAGATACCCAATGCCCAGGAGTATCAGGAGAAGGAAGCCATGGGAGCCGGGGTGCGGAGGGCTGCACGGAGTGTGCTCCCAGCAAGCTGCAGCCTCTCAGGCTTCCTCAGGCTGGTTCAGGAGCCCCCCTGGGAGGAACAGCCAAGCAGGGCTCGGGGCAGGAGGGGGCAGCCAGAGGTGGTGAGCTCCGAGCACTCAGGAGAAGCAAATGCGAATGCCAGCGTCCTGGGGGACAGGGACCACCCCGGTGCCAAGCCTGGGGCTGGCACATAGCAAGTCCTCATTAAACCTTGGCAGAGAGTAAATGAAATGCCCAACTACTTTAATGTGGTGGGGAGGGGACAGTTCACTCATGTAGTCGGCTCATCCTGAGGGATACCTGGGCTTCCCTGGACGTCGCCGAGTGCCACTGTACGCTCAGTGCTGTGCTGGGGTTAGGGTGGAAGAACATACCAAGTGTGCAAGGCCCCGCAGTAAACCGTCAGCTAGTAAGGATCTCAGGCTGAGAGAAGGAACCATGGGTCATCCAGGGCAACTGCTATCCCATGCCCAGGGTTCTGGGTGCTGCCCCTGCTCGCACACCTCCAGGGACGGGGAGTCACTTTGGCCCAAGGTGGGACTGTCCCTGCCTTTACCTGGCCATCTTCTACTCATGCGTCCAGGTCTGGTTCAAATGCCACCTCCCTCCAGAGCATCCCCTGCTGTTAGACACACTTCCTCCCCACGCAACTCCAACCCCTCGGGTCCACAAGAATGGCCACATCCCTCTCCCCCATCACAGGTCATAACCCACGGCCATCCCCACCCAGCCATTGCTTCTCCAGCGGGCATCTCGCTCCCTCGGCTGCTCCTTCCACTCTGTGAGCTCTGTGAGCAGATCTCTGGGCTCACCTTCTCCGTGCAGAGATCCACGCACTTGTCCACGGACATGTTCGGCATGGCGGCTGTCACGGGCAAGGCCAGGGAGAGGTTGTCGGGCCTGCGGAAGCAGCCTCGGAACACCGCGCTTCCATCTGAAGAGCCGGAGGGAAAAGGAGTAGTCAGATTTAGCAGGGGTCCGATCTGGACGGGGCCAGCGCCTTCTGATAGGAGCTCTTGTAAACTGAGGCCCAGAGAAGGCAGGAGTCTTGCTCGGGGTCACACAGGGAGCAGAAGCAGAGGCAGAGACAGCAGCCACATTTTCTGTTCCTGAGCAGGTCTGTTTATGGTCAATGGGATCGATAATTCAAAGAACGCTTCCCTCAACCCAGGCAACTGTGTCAACAACCCAGGCTCAGAGGTGGAGCTCCTTCCCTTTTCTTTGTTAGCATGGCTATGCCTCAGACTCAGTGACACCAGTTCTCCATTCAGGGGACTGACACAGTCCATGGAAGATTTCCATGGCTTTGGTGGGAGAAGCACAGTGTTTGAGGATGGAGAGACTCCAAGGGCCCGGGGCTGTACTCTCTCTCCTTGCCTGCCAGTACCAGGGTTCCCCTCTCCCTCCCATCATCCTGAATCTTAGCGGAAAATCCCTGTGTCTCAGGAGTCTCTCTAGTGCTGAGTATCCACAGGCTGCAGGGGACTGATATATCTGGAAGACGGAATCCAGAAATATGTCAGGTGCACAGGAGGAAGCTTGGAGGTCATCGCTATTTCTTCGAGAGAAGATGCCCCGGCCAGGGGAGAGGAGCCAGTGGTGGCGGTGGTAACTGGGATGTGGCTAACTCATGGTGGGGGGAGGGGTGTCCCTCTAGGGCTCAGTTTCCCCACATATACAGAGGGAGAAGAGGTTAGGTTATGCAATGACACTCAGGCCTGCTATCCAGGGAGCATCCAGGGAGGTGTGAGGCCACCTCTGATGCCTCCCACTGCTGAGGCCTCAGTGGCACTTGGTTTGCAGAGGAGAGCCCTCCACAACCCCCTAACGCCCCTGGTGCCCCATGGAGAAACACTGGACAGTCTCCCATCCTGTGGCCTGGGGCACTCAAGGGAGGCCCTGTAAGGTGATGTTCACAGAATGTGTTGGACGATGCGAGGGCAGGGAGGAGGGGAGTAGGCATTGTGGCTAATGGTTCACAGCAAAGAGGCAGGTGAATCTCACTCAACCAGAAAGCTCAGTTATCCAGAGGCTAACTCAGGCCACGGGGCACTGAGATGCTGGCCTTGCTCTGGGAGGCACTCGTGTTTTTTGGGTCCCTGTTGAGGCTGATGCCAGACTCCATGTTGGGCACTTGGGACCCATCTCTGTCTTCCTATGAGCCAGGCACGGCAGGTGCTCTGGCTGGCTCCATTTTACAGGTGAGAGAACTGAGGCTCAAGGAGGCTTGTGGGCTTCCAGTGCCACAGAGTTATCAAAACCAGCTTTGTCTGTCTCCAAAGCCGAGACTGATTCCAAGAACAACAATGCTAATCCCGTTATTAGGATTAGATGCTCATATTAGTATCATATTAGTGTTGCCATGTGTTGACACATGCTGACTGCCAGGAGCTAGGCTGGGAAGTTCACCCATTTTTACAGATAAAGAAACTCAAGGCTCAGAGAGCTGAAACTGCTTGACACAGGTCACCCACCAGGTGAGACCCAGTGCCGAGATGGGATCTAAGTCTGCCTCAGTCTGTCCCCTTGCCCTTTTGATGATATCGTCAAGTACTCTCCGGGTGCTAGGCATCGTGTACACCTGATACATCTTAGCCAAGGGAAACCCTCTGACCTCTATCAGGAAAATCCCATTCTCCCCATTATACAGAAGGGTGGACAGAGGCTCGGGGGGCAGGACCTGATTCAGCCAAGGCCACACAGCTCCCAGGCAGCAGCAGCAGGACTCCAATCCGGGAATGTCTGAACTCTGAGCCTGCACACCCTCCTGGGCTGTCTCTCTACAGAGCCACTGAGGTCTTGCCTTAGCATTTCAAGGCACCATGGCTTTATCCTTCCTCGCTCCTGCCCTTCCTGTTCATACCACTTTTGACTACAAAGCATTCAGGAAGTCGGGACTGTCACTCCGAGGCCACTCGGCACCAGAGTCGGACTCTCTTTAAGCATCCCCAAAACGTCCAGAGCTTGACCTCCGAGTCTTCAGAGCCATCATCAGATTGTTGCCCTTTCTCTTCCATGGCAGGATCCTGTTTGAGGGACTGTCCCCCAAGCCCCCGGGGTCACAAGCAGGAGGGTGGCTACAGGCAGCAATTTGGGGGTTGGAGCCAATGGAGGCTCCTCCAGGGCTGGGGCAGTCCTGCGGCCACTGTAGGTGTCCCAAGCCCACTTCCTCTTGTCCTCTGAGTTGGCTCCTCTCTAAGTCCCCTCCCATCATCCTGTTGGGGTCTCAGACTACAGAATTAAGAAGAAGTCAAGGCCAGGTCAAAAGCAATGGGGGTGGGTGGGCACAAGTATGGGTGTGTATCTGGCTATGCAGTGATGGGGCTGACTTGGGGGGCAGCTGAACACCGAGGGCATGGGGCATGACACCAATGTGTTTATGGCTCTGGGCACCATCTGTGTCTGTGCATGTGAGTCTGAGTAACATTGTGTGTGTCACAGCGGCACTCATGGGCTCACATCCAAAAAACATGGATGCGGACTCTGACAATGTCAATGAGACCCTGTGGGCCAGCTCATATGTGGGGAAGAGGACTCTGGGGCAGGTGTGTGTCCCCCTACCCGGCTGATGGGACAGTGAGCATTTGACTGTGGCTGTGGCATCTGACTGGGTGCCTCTGTGAGCAGCTGTGTGGCTGTGCATCAGGCCTTATGGAGGTGAGTCTCAGCATGGCATGTTTGCGTGCACGTGGATACAACCACCCCAGGGCTCTCGGTGGGTTGCCTGGCAACCAGCTAGCTGAGAGAAGGGCATCCCTCTCCCAGCAGGCTGTACCTCAGCCAAGCTCCCTCCCAACCGGCTCAATGACACCAGGGCTTTCGCAATCCCCTGAACAGCCAGCACCTATTCTGGAACAAAATGTTTATTTCTCCGACGCAAACGGAAACGCACCATATGAAGAAAAAGAGTGAGCCACAGGATGGGTGGGTGTCTCTGCTGGAGGCCAGCCCAGTTGAAGCCTCTCCCCAGGGTGCCAAGAACAATGGAGACCCCTACGCCTGGTGCCTACAGCCAGTATGGGCCCAGCAGATCTCACGTAGGAGCCCCTGCCCCAGTATGCGTGCCTCTGATGGCGGGCATGTAAATGCTGCAGGGAGCTCACAGTGATCTTGGGGGCCCCTGCTGTTAGGGGCCACCCCTGCCTCCTCTTACAGACACGACCTTGAGTAACTGGAGGCACCGGGGCATCTCTCAGGGTTGCATGAGCCCTTGTGCTCTTCACCTGGGCTTCCGTGGCCAACAAATCTGCCTTCTCCCCTGCCCCCCAGCTGGGTACCATCTCTGGGCTTGCTCTTCTGAAAGGGCCTCATTAACATGTATCTCCAGGTGGCCTGGAGGGGCCCAGCCCTGATCCAGGGTCTCAGAAGACTCCTTCTAGCCTGAGAACACATCAGGAGGCCATGCACGTCCCTGGCCTTGCAGGTTGGGGAACAGAGACTAATGACGAGGAGACACAAGTTCCAGGGCTGGCTGTGTCTCCTCTCTGGAAGCCAGTGTCTTGACCTGCATGGGAGGCAGCCCTCTGCCATGGTGCCCACTAGCAGCTCCGCCCTTCCCTGCCTTTGAGCCCTGGTGAGTTTCCTCTAATGCCTGAGCTTCGGTACAATAGGGGCATGGATATTCAGAGACGGACAGGAGTGAGCCTTGTGAGCTGTGGGCACTGAGCAAGGGGTGGTTAAAGGGCTGTCCTTAGGCTGAGAAGGAGAGGGGAGGGCTGGGGAGCCCCTGCTCTGGCAGGTCTCCTGCAGCTCGCCTGGGCATCAGGAGGCCACACTGCAAGGCTGGGAGGAGGAAGTAGACTTTGTAGGCTGAGCTCCTGGGACACCGGTCTCCCTTTGACATTTAAGCATCTGCTAATGAGTCCCTGACTCCCCTGGCTTAGAGAGCTGGGCTTTGCTGAGTGCCCTGAATATCAAACAAGGCAAGGTTTGCAGAGGCCTTAAAGGGCTGGAGGCAGATGAGAAACTACTGCTTAGGGGTCTTAGGTGGAGGTGTGTGCTGGGGGTGGGGTGGGGAGGCTGAATTCCAGGAGCAGCGGATCTTCCAGATAGAGGACTTCCCCGCATTCTGGCCTGTCCTGCTTTTTAAAAACATTTAAATTTAAGAACTTACTTAAAAATTTAACAGACATAAAATTGTACCTATTTATGGAGTACTATGTGATATTTCAGTACATGTATGCATTGTATAATATCCAGTCAGGGTAACTGCATTTAGCTCTTCAAACATTTGACGTTTCTTTATGTTGCAAACATTCCAAATTCTATCTTTTGTTGTTGCTTTTAAAAGATATATTTATTTATTTGAAAGGCAGATTTGGGGTGGGGGGACAAGAAACAGAGAGGCATCTCCCATCTGCTGATTTACTCCCCAAATGGCCACCACAGCTGGGGCTGGGCCAGCAGCCTGGAACTTCATAGGTCTCCTACGTGGGTGGCAGGGGCCCCAGCACCTGTGCCGTCTTCTGCCGCCTTCCCAGGTGCATTAGCAGAGAGCTGCATCAGAAGTGGAGCAGCCAGAACTGGAACCGGCACTCATGGATGCCAGCGTTGCAGGCAGTGGCTTAGCCTGCTGTTCTGGCTCCCTGCTATTGTTTTTTCCCATTTTGCTTTTGGGAGATGCCACATGGAATCATAGAAAGCTTCCTGATGACTCGGAGAAAGGTTGGAGGAGCTTCCAGGCAGGCAAGGGAACGGTGTAGTTCTGTTCCCCGGGGTCTGGGGGTGATTTGAAGGTCGTTTCTGTCTGTAGGTGGTTCCCCATGGTGTTTTGGTAACCTGGACACTGAGGCTACTCACAGTGGCCAAGACCCTAATCTTCCTGCTTCTGGGGTGGGCACTTGGCACAGCAGTTAGGATGTCGCTCGGGATGCCAGCATTCCATATCAGAGTTCAAGTCTCAGCTCTGCTATTAATTCCAGCTAATGCACACCC